TGTGTTTTTCATCTCCAGAAGTTCCAACTTTTAATGTTTTCTGTATCTCTATAGAGATACATAATTTATGAACATGAATACATGAACATAGGAGTATAGATTTTAAAATCTTATTTTTAAATTCTTGCATAATTAACACAGTGTTATATTGGTTTCAGGTATACAACACAGTGATTCATCAATTCTGTACATTGTTCATTGCCTATCATGATAAGTGTACTCTTAATCCCCTTTACCTGTTTCACCCATCCCCCCACCCACCTCCCCTCTGGTAACCATCAGTTTGTTGTCTAGTTAAGAGTCTGGTATTTTTTATTCTTTGTTTGATTTGTTTTTAAAATTCCTAACGTGAGTGAAATCATATGGTATTTGTCTTTCACTGACTTTTTACTTAGTGTAATATCCTCTAAATGGATCCATCCATGTTGTTGCAAATGGCAAGATTTCATACTTTTTTATGGATTAGTAATATTCTGTATGTACATACTACCTCTTTATCCATCCATCTATTAATGGACACATGGGTTGCTTCCATAATTTGGTTATTGTAAATAATACTGCGGTAAACAGGGGTGCCTGGGTAGCTTAGTTGTTAAGCATCTGACTTTGGCTCAGGTCATGATACCAGGGTTCTGGGATCGAGCCCTGCAACGGGCTCCTTGCTCAGCAGGAAGCTTGCTTCTCCTTCTCCCACTCCCCCTGCTTGTGTTCTCTCTCTCTCTCTCTGTCAAATAAATAAATAGAATCTTAAAACTGCAGTTAACATAAGGAGTGCATATATCTTTTCAAATTAGTATTTTCTTATTCTTTGGGTAAATGTCCAGTAGTAGAATTACTGAATCACATGGTAATTCTATTTTTGTTTTTTTGAGGAAGCTCCATCCTATTTTTCCTGGTGGCTATACCAGTTTGCATTCTCACTAACAGTACAGGAGGGTTCCTTTTTCTCCACATCCTTGCTAGTGCTTCTTGTTTTTTGTGTTTTTTATACTAGCCATTCTGACTAATGTGAGGTGGTATCTCAGTGTGGTATTCATTTGTATTTCCTTGATGATGAGTAATTTTAAGCATCTTCTCATGTGTCTGTTGGCCGTCTGCATGTCTTCTTTGGAGAAATGTCTGTGCGTGTTCTGCCCATTTTTAGGTTCGATTACTTGTTTTTTGGGTGTTGAGTTGTGTAAATTCTTTATGTATTTTGGATACTAATCCTTTATTGGACATATAATTTACAAATACCTTCTCCTGTTCAGTAGGTTGTCTTTTAATTTTGTTGGTTCCTTCCTTCACTGTGCTTTTTATTTTGATACAGTCCTAATATTTTACTTTTGCTTTTGTTTCCCTTACCTGAGGAGACTTATCTAGAAAAATGTTGCTGCAGCCAGTGTCAGAGAAATTACTGCCTATGCTCTCTTCTAGAATTTTTATGGCCTCAGGTGTCACATTTAGATTCTTAATCCATTTTGATATTTTTTTTTAATGGTATAAGAAAAAGCGGTCCAGTTTCATTCTTTGGCGTGTATCTGTCCAGTTTTCTCAACACTATTTGTTGAAGAGACTGTCTTCCCCATTTCATAAACTTGCTTCCTTTGTCAAAGATTAATCATATAATCATGGGTTTATTTCTGGGCTCTCTGTTCTGTTCCATTAATCTGTATGACTTTTTTTGTGCCAGTACCCTACTGTTTTGATTACTATCGATACGTAGTGTATCTTGAAATCTGGGATTGCAATACTTCAGTACTTTGTTTTCAGGATTGATTTGGCTAGGGGCGCCTGGGTGGCTCAGTGGGTTAAGCCTCTGCCGTTCACTCAGATCATGATCTCAGGGTCCTGGGATCGAGCCCCTCATCGGGTGGTGAGCTCAGCAGGATGCCTGCTTCCCCCTCTCTTTCTGCTGCCTCTCTGCCTACTTGTGATCTTTCTCTCTGTCAAATAAATAAAATCTTTATTTTAAAAAAAAGTGTAATGTGTAAGCCTGATGATTCACAGACCTGTACCCCTGGGGCAAATAATACATGATGTGTGGATTTTTAAAGAAAGATTGTTTTGGCTATTGAGTCTTTTGTGGTTCCATACAAATTTTAGGATTGTTTATTCTGGTTCTGTTAACAAGGCTGTTGTTGTTTTGAAAGGGATTGCATTAAATGTGTACATTGCTTTGGGTAATATGGATTTTAGCAATATATGTTCTCCCAATCCATGAGCATGAAATACCTTTCCATGTGTTTTTGTCATCTTCACTTTCTTTCATCAGTGTATTATACTTAACAGAGTACAGATCTTCCACCTCTTTGGCTATGTTTATTACTAGGTATTTTATTATTTTTGGCACAATTATAAATGGCATTTTTTCTTAATTTCTCTATTCTATTTAATTATTAATGTATAGAAATGCAATGAATTTCTGTATATTGATTTTGTATTGTGAAACCTTACTGAAATCATTTAGGAGTTCTAGTTTTTTGGTGGAGTTTTTAGGGTTTTCTATATACAGTAGTGTGTCATCTGCAAATAGTGAAAGTTTTACTTCTTCCTTACCATTTGGATGTCTTTTATTTCTTTTTGTTTTCTGATTGCTGTGGCTAGGGCTTCCAGTACTATGTTGAATAAAAGTGATGAGACTGGACATTCTTGTTTTATTTCTAATCTTACAAGGAAAACTCTTTGTTTTTTTCCCATTAAGGATGTTGTTAGCTGTGGGTTTTTCTAGAAGGCATTCATTATGTTGAGGTATGTTCCCTCTAAACTTATTTTAATGAGGTTTTTATCATGAATGGATGTCCTACTTTGTCCAGTGCTTTTTCTGTATCTGTTGAAATGACCATGTAGTTTTCATCCTTTCTCTTGTTGATGTGATATATCGCATAGATTGATTTGTGAATATTGAACCACCCTTGCATTCTGGGAATAAATCCCACTCAATCACAATGAATGATTTTTTAAAATATATGATTGGATTTGATTTGCTAATTTTTTGTTGAGTATTTCTGCATCCACTTTCATCAGAAATTTTAGCTTGTAGTTCCCTTTTTTTGTAGTGTCTTTATCTGGTGTTGGTATCAGGGTAATGCTGGCCTCATAGAATGAATTTAGAAGCCTTCCTGTCTCTTGTATTTTTTGGAATAGTTTGAAAAGTATAGATATTAACTCATCTTTAAATGTTTGATAGAATTCACCAGTGACACCATCTGGTCCTGGACTTTTTATTTGTTGGGAAGTTTTTGATTACTGATTCGATTTCATTGCTGGTAATTATCTGTTCACATTTTCCATTTTTTCCTAATTCAGTTTTGGAAACTTGTATATTTCTAAGAATTTGTCTATTCTAGGTTGTCCAGCACATAATTTTTCATACTGTTCTCTAATAAGTGAATAAAATCTTAAAAAAAAATTATAGTGGCTTTCTGTAATTAAGATTTCTTAATTAGTATATATAGGAGATAAATTTGGTATTACAAGGAGAGTAATACAATAAATTCAGGTGCAATAGGGAATGTGGAAAGACATTGGACATCAGAAACAGTTAAGAAAGTAGAAGTTGGGGCGCCTGGGTGGCTCAGTGGGTTAAGCCGCTGCCTTCGGCTCAGGTCATGATCTCAGGGTCCTGGGATCGAGTCCCGCATCGGGCTCTCTGCTCGGCAGGGAGTCTGCTTCTCTCTCTCTCTCTCTCTCTCTCTCTGCCTGCCTTTCCGTCTACTTGTGATCTCTCTCTGTCAGATAAATAAATAAAATCTTAAAAAAAAATTTATAAAAATTAAAAAAAAAAAGTAGAAGTTGGGTCTTGGCCCACTTTGTACTAGTTGTATTACGTTTAGCCTTTTTTTGTTCCTGTGTTACATAATCTTTTTGGTCCTTACTTTCTTCTTTAAGGTGTTTTTTCTCAAAGGCAGTTGTGGGAGTTAGGTACATTTTGTGAAAATGCATTATAAACTACAAATGCTGTGTAAAAAACCAAGTATCATTTTGAGATATAGCCTGAGGATTATAAATTTCAAACAGTATGTAGTTGGAAAATTTTACTGTACCTGAGCCTAACATTTTAATAACCAAAATTATTATCTTGGCCTGTGCTTTCTTTGGTTAGTTTCAGAAATTTTTTAAATTTGATTTTTGATATGCAGTTTAATAGAAATGAGTCATGTTATCATTTCTTTCTTTGCTTGGCAGCACAGCATATGCACTTCACCCACATATATGATCTGTGGGTTGTGGAGAGAAATAAGGATGTTGCTCAATAGCCCACGTATTTCCACAAAGAATACTCTTCAGTAACTCTCATGAGTTTCTCTTAGACATTAGGAAAGGCAGACCCTTACATGTTAAACTAAATATGTGAACTCAATATTGAGTGAGAAAATGTGAGGAGCAGACCATTAAGTTAAATTCTATGTCCTCTGTAAATAGCAGGGACTTTACCCATAGAGCTGATTAGAAGACCTTGGTTTTTAAGTTCTGAAACATTTCTTGTAGAATGATACAGGAGCTGTTACTGAGACTCAAAATAAGAGGCTACAGAATTGTGGGAGGCTTGCCCTCTATTTATGAATCAGATTTTAAGTGGAAACCACAGTCGTTTCCTTCTCATTCATGCTTTAGCAGAGGATGTGATGCCATAGATCTAGCTTGGTTTGTAGTTTCTCCTTTAAGGTTCACACCACATTCTTTTCCTGTTTAGAAGCCACAACAGTTTTAATATATTATCAAACCACAGAATGTACCTTGCTGGATATTTACTGGGGGAATGTGTGCTACATATTATTTGGTAGAGCCAGTACTGATCGTGGCAGTCTAGTTTAAGTCATATTTCAGAAATACAGCATAAGTAGATAAAAGTGCACAATATAGATAGATGTATTTGGGGTAGGTGTGGTATATAGGCATACATCTGCACACTTGTGGAAAACAATTTTAACCCTTTGATTATATTAATTTATATTTTAAAATAATGCTTTATATTGTTTAACTTGAATATATGTTAATTTTCTTTTTTTCTTTCTTAGCGTCATGGCATGCCATGGGTTGCCTCTCATAAATGGACAAAGCTGTGACCCTTATGCAACAGTTTCTCTAGTGGGCCCTTCTAGGTAATGTTTTGTTTTGTTTTGTTTTTTAAGTTTTTATTTAAATTCCAGTTAGTTAACATACACTATAATATTAGTTTCAGGTGTACAATAAGTGATCCAACATTTCCCTACAACACCCAGTGCTCATCACATGTGCACTCCTTAATCCCCATCCCCTATTTCTCCCACCCCCCATTTCTCCCATGCCCCCACCCACCTCTCTGCTGGTAATCATTAATTTGTTCTCTATAGTTAAGAGTCAGTGTTTCTTGATTTGCCTCTTTTTTTTTCTCCTATGCTCATTTGTTTCTGAAATTCCACATATGAGTGAAATCATATGGTATTTGTCTTTCTCTGACTGACTTATTTCACTTAGCCTAATACTCTCTAACTCCATCCATGTCATTGGTAGGTAGTGTTTATTGAATTATTATTAGATTTTTTTTTAACTCTAAACACATAATTTCAAGCATGCCTTTATTTTCCATAAGTACACTGATTTTAATCCAGAAATGTAAACATCTCTGGATCTGAAGACTTAGTATGTATGTGGGCTTAAATGATTTCCTTCTTCGACAGTAGATGCTTCATTACATTGAAATGATCAGTGGTTGGCTTCTATTTGTAACCTGGAGTTAGGAATTCAGAGTAGGAGAGCAAATTATTATTAGATTTTTATGTTTTAAAATGTGACTTAAGAATTACAAGATTAAGATTTTAAGAATAAATGCTAAATGGCTATTTATGACACAAAGTTAATGAACGCATTGAAAGAAACATTTTTAGTGAGTTCTGTTATACATTTGGAAATAACCAAGTCCTGTTCCTGTAGAAAGAAAGTGGATGCCATTTCAAATATGCTGGACTCTTAGACTGTAGGGAGCAATGTTAATTTTATAGTAGTTAAAATGTTCTTTAAAACATAAATTTGACCTTCCTCACTCATCATTGGCCTTCCTACCTTCAAATGTCTTAGATTTTATATGGGTAAAATCCTGTTTTAAGAAATGCTAGCTCAGAATCGCAAGGCAGTTTCCATATTTTTATCTGGAAAACTGCTAGGAACTAAAAATGCCTTTTCTGCTCATGGCATCTGTGCTCTACAGAGAGAATTCCAAGCTGTAGACAGCCTGCTGAAGTACCAGAACATGGTAAAGTGCACCATATCATTGATTTAATTTCTTTCTAATGATTTATGGAAAAACCTATAGCAATTTATGTATTTTATATTTTATAACTTCATTATGATTTCTTTCAGAGCCTGACTAGTCTGAAATTTGCCTACAACTTTGAAGGTTTAAAATCAGGAAACAAAGAGCAAATATTTGCTTTATACCAAACTCATACATACATACACAGACACATACCCCTTTTCCCCAACTTCAGGCTCTCTAGGTATTCTTTTTATTTATTTATTTTTATTAATTTTTCTTAATTCCAGAATAGTCAGCATACAGTGTTACATTAGTTTCAGGTGTACAATAGAAGTATTTTTATTTTTTAGAAATCACCAGTAAGTCACTTTTTAAAAATGTATTAATATATGTACATAAAGTACCTAGCGCCATGCCTAGTACTTACTGTGTGCTCAAACAGTATTGCACTGTTAGCACTATAGATGCTTCTAAAGTTGAAAGCAGATACTCAGTCCTTTAACATTCATGTTATCAGAGGGATTAGTTCTGGATGTTAAAAATGTTTAACCTAATTGAGCTATTTTTTTGTTTCTGTTTATAATCTGTAGCTAAAGACAAATTCTTTAATGTAATCATTTAGTAACACAGAAGTGGAAACCATTTGGCATGTGAATTTGGTTTTAAGAGTCATTATTGGTATTGATAGTGTACTATCATCACATAAGATGTTAAAATTGGGAGAGGGTGGGGAAAGACTGCGGGATTTCCGTGTACATTTCTTTGCAACCTTCTCTAATTATTTCACAAGAAAAAGTTTTTTTAAAAAGCCATATTGTAAGCCCAAGAAATAAATTTAGTTAAGAATGCTTTTTGTGTTCCTCAGGTATTTTTCAGCAAAGATAAAGGTACTCTGAATCTCACTGTCTTCCTTTTGCCATTCTGATATAAAATAAGCTTATATATGTAAAATAAGCTTGATGGTCAGCCTAGTGTAGCCATAGAAAGAAAATACAATCTTGTCATATATCGCATATACAAACTTGTATTTTCTTTGATTTGGGTCTTTAGAGACATGTCAGATTTTTTCCCCCAAGTAATATTTAAAACTATAGTTTTCCCTGAGTCATCTTAACAGCTAAAGGGAGGTCAGGCTCCCTGGTTGGAAATAGCATGTTTTATAATTGTGTACCATTAAGTTCTACAAGGTAAAACTCTACCACATTGGAACAGGAATGACCAAAAGAAGACAAAAGTAAAGAAGAAAACAAGCAATCCGCAGTTTAATGAAATCTTTTATTTTGAGGTAACTTTTTATTTTATATAAATGTTGACATTGAATATTTAATATCGAATGCTGGTTTACTTCTTTTTTTGAACTATAGCCATAGTAATCATTTAATCAGCTAATGCAACTAAGCATTTCTATTCCAAGAACAGTAGAACCATGATATAATGTGGTAGAGGACCAGTATATAAAACAAATAAAGGCAGAACTACAACGGATTTGGGGATAGGAAGGACTAGGGCCACACCTACTCTCTAGTCATCCCTATTACCACACCCTCCTTCACACACCCTCCCACCTTATCCAGCCCCCCACCTGACACACAGTGGCCACTGGACTCTTATACTGAGTACTACTGTTTGAAAATCACTAGTAAAGTAAGTATGACATCAGTTGGTTGGAGTTCTTGTCCCAGTTGATGTGGAATAAATCACTAAATGTGAGGTTTAAGTTTATCTTGTGAAAAGATAATTTTGTAAGAGAAAACACTAGCTATCCTTCCTGGCAGAGTTTTTAGGAAGCCCAAATGTGAGAATGCGTTGAGACCATAAAGTGCTATAAGATTAAAGCCTTATTATTAAGTTCTTTTTAGCTAATTGCCTCTATAGACAAATGCTTGTTTTCATAGAGATCTTCAGCTACCTTGAAGTTGCCCCAAAATATAGTGCTTTGGAGTTCTTTACTGTGGAGCATTTGCTAAAGAAATCCTTTTTCATATTATTTGAAAACTACAGGGAAGAAAAAGACCTCAGATTTCTAAAAGATTGTGTTCTAACCATAGAACATGTCGCAAGTGAGATTAGTTAGCATGTAGGAAGATTTGGGGAAAAGTTCCATTGTGTGCTTTTTCCTCTTTTGTATGTGTGTTTTTCTTGATAATTCCAAGTGGAGAGGAGTGAGAGCACATCTAGCCATGCCTAATTACTATATAAAAAAATACAGGTTGAGGAAAATACCAAAATTGAAGTAGGAAGAATTGTGAGGATGGAGGCAAGGGAGAAAGACAAAAGAAAAAGTACCAGTATGAGACTTTTCCATTTCCAGCTAAGGACTTCGGTGGTTATATATTTATCAGTGGCTATTAAATCTAGCCTGCAGAAAACATGGGGCAACTTGGAGCAAGCAGATGGCCTTTTGAAAGGCAAGGTCTGACCTGCTTGCTGTATTCAGGTGTACATATGAAGCCTTAAAATATTTATTCAAAAAGCCCTTTGTTGAACAGATTATAAAGATAAGATTCAATCTCTGTCCTCGAGCTAAAGCAAGAGACACAAAGCACACATATACATGCATACACACAGCAGCAAAATGCAGTAGATACAGGGAAGGTCAGATGAGTTTTTCAGCTGAGTTAAGTTAGGGAGGAGTATTAGAGAGAAAGAACATTTTGAGCATAGACAAAGATACAGAAAAGCAGTAAGTTACATCCAAAGAATAGCAAATAGTGATTTAACTGGAAGGGTTCTATAAGAGAATAATTGGAGCAAAGCTTAAAAGCTAGACTAGGACCAACTATGAAAGGCCTTGACTACCTGTGGCTGACGTGCTTACAGAGTAGCTGTTGAATGTTTTTGAGCCTGGAAGTGGTAAGAGTAATGCAGTGTTTTAGGAAGAATTAACCGTGATCTGTGGGCCAATCGCTGAGAAAGAACAGAAATCAAGATACTCATAGTTTAGTAGGTGTTTTTTTGTTGTTGTTTTTTTGTTTTTAAAAAGGAAGGTGGAGGGGCTTCTGATCCAAGAGAGTAACGTGGGAAAAGAGAGGAAGTGACAGATGAGAAAGAAGCTGTAAAGGGGAGGATAACAAATTGATTATAGAAGAAAAGACAAAGGGAAAAGTCAGGTGTCCTCATGGTTTCAAATCTGGAATAAGGGAAAAGTTAAGGAAAACAGAAGTGGTTCGGTTGGGGACATAATGAACTTGAGGTCTGACGTGAAAACCCCTCAGTAGGGAGTTCATGACAAACATAAGATGGGTGATGGCTGTAGATAAGCACTTAAGATTTGCTTGCCAGAGAGTCAAGGAAGCCAGGGGAATAGCGGCATACAATATAGGAGAAAAGTGAGGAAGCTCAGCTTTGAGCATGTCTCTTAATTTCTGTCCTTTAACTTCCTCATTTTCAAGATGAGGATAATAAATCTAGCCCTGCCTGCTTCAAAACAGCATTCTGATGAACAAAGAAGATAATGGATGTGAAAGCACTTTGTAAACTGTATAGCCCTTTGCAGCTCTTAGAGCAACGTAAAAGTTAAGACCGTGGAGAAAACCAGTATTTATAGGTTCTGAAGAAGAAGAGGTCCCACAGGAAGAAGCAGAGAACAGGAGGTTGCCTGGGTAGTGCCTGGGTAAATTCAAAACAGTGTTTCTGGGAAAGGAGGTATGGTTGTACTCACTTGTTCTGGGGTCAAGGAAGATGAGAACTAAGGACTCAGCATCAGACCTGGTTACTAAGAGATGAGTTTGGGGAGGATGATCTGTGAGGAAACCAGATTATAAGGAGTCACTGTAGTGACTGGGTGTGAGGAAGTGGCGGCTGCAAAGATGGATTACAGTTTTGAGATATTTGTCTGTGAAAGGAAGGAGATAAATAGGAAGACCATAATTTAAGTATAGAATTTTTCTTAGACTTTAGTGAGGTGAATAAGCTGGTAAAAAGCTATAATTAAAATAGATGAAATGTTTTTGTTTTGTTTTATTTTGGTGCTGAAACCTGGGAATAGATCAAATGTTTACTGCATGCTTACTGTATGTCATGCATGGGTGGAATAGTCTTGGAGAAGAGGAGGATCATCTCATCTCTTGTTCAGAATAAATGAGAAAACTCATCAAGTAGAAGGACCATGTGAGAATGAACACGTTCAGGTGGATGGTAGCAGAGGAAGTCCCTGCCGGTTGCCTTGGTATTTTTGGTAAAAATGCGAGAAGGAAGTGTAAGGATAGAATTGATATCTTGAGAAATGTAGGAAAGTCTTCAAACAGTTCTTCGCATGTGCAGCTTCGCCAAAATAGAACGCTTTTACTCTTTGAGTCACTAAGAGATTACATATGAGTCAGAGAACCTAGTGTTGCTGTAGATTTAGTTGATAAGGAAGGGCATGGAGGCAAAATTGCCTTTGGTGTTTTTGTACTGCCTTATTCTTACCTCCCTGCTACTTCCATAGCCGTTTTTATCTTTAGCTTTGGGGGAACTATTACCTAGGCGTTTTCCTCTGTTTATAATAAACACAATTGAACATTTTAGCGATGATAGTTTTTTAAGTTCATGTAGGAAAAAATATTTAAAATTTTTTTGTAAACTAAAATATTTTGTTCACAGGTAACCAGATCCAGTAGTTACACAAGAAAGTCTCAGTTCCAGGTAGAAGAGGAGGACATTGAAAAGCTAGAAATTAGGTATTTGTCTTAGAGTTTTAAAGATCTGCTTTTTTTTTGGTGCCAAAAGAAAATCCTAAATCTAAAATAGAAAAACCGTAAAAAGAAAATAGGTGAACCAAGCTTAATAGACTTCTCTTTAGCAAGATGGTTGATGAAACTTAGAGAAACAGGCATCTAATTTAAATTCATACTATCTTTTCAAAATCTGTTTTCTTTGCAGAAGTAGTCAAGGTATAATTATTTAATACCAAAGATGACCTGATTTTCACCGATTTTATTATATTTTTAATTTTCACAAATTTAATTGCTCTTTAAATTTCTTAATCTAACATAATGGATGCAAAGAATATATAGAAAAGTAATTATATATTAGCCAATTTAGAAATAATTTTTTTATTCTTCTTAACATATCTGCTGTCTAACAGAAATTTCAGTGAGGTAAGAAGTCTTGTAAGATAATTCAACAGGTGCATGTGTTTGAAGTTTGTGCTATTTAGGTCTTAAATCTCTGCTGTTTGGGAGGGAAAAGTTCTGTAAGTGCATGTACAGGTGTGGTGTTAACAGTGTGTTCATCTAAAGGGTGTATTAGTCACATGTTTGGAATGATCAGGTAATGTATTTTGTTTAAATCACCTATCTTTACATATTAACTGGCTCTAATTGAGAAAGAAACTGTAGTCTTGTGTTGGTTTCTTTTCTCAAAGTCAACAAGGTAACTCCCAGTTCTTACTGCTACAGGTTAAAATAAAGCCTAGACTTTGAAACTAAGAAACTTAAGTGCTTTCTTTTAGACTATTTAAAATAGTTATACTCTGTGCTTATAAAATAAAAGCTACTGCAATATTTTCTTTTCTTAGTTTAGTTAGTGAGGTATATGACAACGCTAACATCTCTTACTTTTAAGCATGTAAAATTAATGCTGTAATGCAATCAAAGTGATTTGAAGCTACCTGTTGGCGTGTGTGCTCTTAAACATTGTTTGCAAAAAATAAAGTTTTATTTTTAAATTTTCAGAATCGACTTGTGGAATAATGGAAACCTGGTCCAAGATATTTTCCTGGGTGAGATTAAGGTTCCTGTGAACGTGTTAAGAAATGATTCCTCTCATCAAGCCTGGTAAGAAGACAAACATTCTAATGAACTCCACAGTAGGTCATCCCCTTTAATAAAATGGTTGAAATGCTTACTATATGCATATTTTTAAAATTTGAGATAGAATAAGCCAGAAGTCATTAACTTTAATTGATTTGGTTATTAATTTATTTTTGCAGAAATAGAAGTACATTCATAGTTTTATGACTTGACCTCTAGAACTGAGATGTGAGAACTGAATTATCTAGGAATATTGTTCTGTTCAAAAATGAAATCTTAACTCTAAGGAGAAAATGAAAATCACTTAAAACATTACATAGGAGTTGCCCGTGTGAGAAGATGCTTGGTTACAGATCAGCATCTGCAGTCCAGAAGCCTTATTAATGGTGATAGGAACTGTACATGTTTGAAAACAGGATTTATGATAGGGAATCCACTGTTAATGGGCTCTAACCAGTTATTTTTCCTTTACCACACCCCGCTGAAATGCACTGTGAATGGCCCTGATGTTATTTTAAATGTCTAGGGTCAGGGCGCCTTGGTGGCTCAGTTGGTTGAGCATCCATCCACCTCATGATTTCAGCTGAGGTCATGATCTCAGGGTTGTGAAATCAGGCCCCACATTGGGCTCTATGCTCAGCTGGGAGTCTGCTTGAGATTCTACCCCCACTCCCACTCCTGAGTAAATAAATGTGTGTCTAGGGTTCAGATGTTGAGCTGATTCAGTAAATACTTTCTTGAGGTGCTCTGGTGGCTCAGTAATAGTTACTTTATTATTTTACCTCTTCATGTCTTTAACAGTGACATTGAACTGATGGTAGATAAAACATACTGTTCATACATTAAACTGGTGTTATTTTCCTTAGCAGAATTGATGCAGAACTATCATTTTTTTCTGCCAAGAGCACTTAAAAGTATGTCTGTCCTGCCCCTTCCAGTAGGTTGCCCAGCAGCCCTCATGCTAGACTTGGGTTTCCACTGAGCATTAATAAACAGGCCTTTCTCTTTGCCTCTAAGGCCCACTATTTAGAACTCAGTTTCAGTGCCTAGAAGAGGAGTTGGAATTGTTGGAATCGTTTATTTTATTTTTTAAAAAAGATTTTATTTATTTGACAGATATCACAAGTAGGCGGAGAGGCAGGCAGAGAGGGGGGGAAGCAGGCTCCCTGCTGAGTAGAAAGCCCGATGTGGGGCTCGATCCCAGGACCCTGGGATCATGACCTGAGCCAAAGGCAGAGGCCTAACCCACTGAACCACCCAGGCGCCCCAGAATTAAGTGTTTAGAGGTTTCTTACTGTGGGCATCAATCTCATTTGTCTTTAAAAAAGAGCCTCCCTTGGGCACCTTGCTCAGTCAATTAAGTGTCTGCCTTTGCTTCAGGTCATGATCCCAGGGTCCTGGGATCGAGCCCTAAATTCCAGGTACCAGACCAGCAGGAAACCAGCTTCTTCTCCCTCTGCCCTCTCTCTCCCTCTGCACCTCACCCTGCTTGTTCTCGCTTGCTTGCTCTCCCTTGCTGTCTCTTGCTATCTTTGTCTCTCTCTCTCTTTCTCAAATAAATAAATCTTTAAGAAAAATTTATACAACATGGAATAGAAACATAGGTAGAATGGAGTATACAAATGTGAATGCCATTTTCTTTCAAGTCAGAAATTAAATTCTTGGGCTCCTTCATCATTTGTAGAGTTGTAGCATCCCCTTGTGGGATCGATGGTAATTGCATGAAAGCACAGGAAAAGCTTTCTTTACCTTCAGAATTTAAGGCATATTCTTTCTAATCTTGGTAGTAGGAAAGAGAATAATTATCAGTAATGTAATCCTGTTGTTTGAAAAGTTTCAATTTGCTTTCCTTTTTCACGTGATTTCAATTAGTATTTGTCTATTATAGTCTTTTCCTGAAAACGGGTTTTAATGGTTCCAATTTAATTTTTTTCTCAGATTACAACATGATCCAATCATTCCCCTTTTCCTTTCTTGGCTTTTCAGTTCCTTAACAATGACATATGTTCTTTATTATGAAACTTCTGTCAGATGTTAGGAGTAGCTTATTAATGTTGATAGTCACTCATTTTAACTTTAACCTTATAGATAGTAGAATTTTATATGATTTTCTTAATCGATAATATACCCATACGGTTCACAGTTCAAAAGATAAAAATCTGTGTCTTGTCCTAGTCCCTCAGCTAGTCATTTTCCCTCTTCTGAGGCACTCACTGTTTTGACTTTCTGGAAATATTTTATGGAATATAGTCAAATATGTATATATCCTTTTCCCTTCTTTACACAAATCGGCACATACTATATCCTGATCTGCACCTTGCTTTTCTCACTTACCAGTGTAGTAGAACTTCAGTAAATATTTGTGGAACCTTGATAGTGGTTAAGAGTGGAGTCTGGAACCAAATCTTAACCTTTGCTGTAACTACCTGTGTGACCTTGAACAGGTTACTCTACCCGTTGGCTTTGCCTTTCTCTGGCTGTAAAATGGGAGCAGTACAAATAGTACCTGCCTCCCAGAGTTGTTAGAGGATGAAATGCATTCATCCTCATCAATGAGACAAGCTGCAAGTGCATTGACCATGGATATAGCTCATGGCTCTCATCATTACAGTGATTGCTACTGTCATCACCATTCCTCCACCATTCCTCCATACAGAATTTCTGCATCCTTTTTGTCATACCAGTGTTCCATTGTTTACGATGTTCGAGAATCTCACAAGCAGTCTAGTTCTGTCTTATTTCACCAGTTCCCGTCAGTATTTTAATGTGCGCAAAACCTTTGTGTGATTGTACAAATTGGCACAATTTTCCCCCAAATATTCAACATGTAAAAGTGGACATTAAGAAAAGACAATAGAGGGACACCTGGGTGGCTCAATTAAGCATCTGCCTTCTGCTCAGGTCATGATCCCAGGGTCTGGGATTCGAATTGAGTCCTACATCAGGCTGCTTGCTCAACAGAGTCTACTTCTCCCTCTCCCTGCTGCTCTCCCTGCTTGTGCGCGCGCGCACGCGCGCTCTCTCTCTCTCTCTCACAAATAAATAAAATCTTTAAAAAAAAAAAGTAGGTTCACATAGTAGATGAAACAAATGGGGTTTTAAACATAAGCACTTCATGCATATTTAAAAATAGATTAATATTTTACTTGAGAGGAGTTGGTTGTGTAGTTTGCTAATTTTGCCACCTATCTTTAATCTCCTATCTTAAGTAAAAATCCATTGATAATGCTTACTTTTATGGAACCAGAAACAGCATTCAAGTGTTAGTAGAGCTGCCTCTGAACAGTTACTTAACAGCTTCCGAACATTACTTCATTATGCTTGTTTTCAGCATTATGAACAAATAATTGTAGTTTTTACCTGCCTACTTCAATTATACAGACCTTGTGGTTAAAATTTTTCAAATGCTAGATTTGTTTTTTCCCTATTAAGGAGCTGTTACAACAGCTGAATCTTGAGAGCATCAGGCTTACTTTTATGCCTCTCCAATTGTGAATTTAAAAATATATGTAGAGCAACTGAATTCCACTTTCAGTTAATATTTCTTTATTTCCTTTTTCTTATTCTTTCAAACTAAAATGCTTTACTCAAAAACTGAAGAAAATATATTTGATTTGATTTTTTCTTTTAAATCCCTTGACCTTATATACATGGCCATGTATCCTCATTTAACAAATCTCGAGAGTTTACTCTTTACCTCTAATTCAAATTACTTTGTCCACAGGGGATCCTTCAGGGTTTAAACGGTCTTTTAAAATAATATTATAAAATAACAAATCATGTTTATGTAGTTACATTAATAAGTACATTTATCTATAGTTATTTCTATATTTAAGTGGTAACAGTTATATATAAATCTTACATAAATAACAGCTGCATAGTGTTTACTGTGTACCTGGCACTCTTCTAAGTGCTTTACTTATATAACCTCCTTAGAGTTGTTGTAAGGATTAAATCAGATACTATTATTACCCCTTATATAGAGTAATAATAAGGTAAGGAAATAAGCGCAGAGAGATTAAGTGGTTTGCCCAGGGTCATACAGCTGAGATTTGGACCAAATACTCTGACTTCAAAGTTTATGTTCTTAACCAATTACTATAATAAATTTACCTTAATGTACATTTATTTTTTAAAGATTTTGTTTACTTATTTGAGAGAGACAGAGAGAGCACAAGTGGGGGAAAGGGACAGAGGGAGAAGCAAACTCCCTGCTGACCAGGGAGCCTGATGTGGGACTCAATCCCAGTTCCCAGGAGCCTGGGATCCTAATTTGAGCTGAAGGCAGGCACTTGACCAAATGAGCCACCCAGCTGCCCCATAAATATTTTTTATATGTTTAAAACTCAAAAATGTTCGGGGTGCTTGGATGGCTCAGTTAAGGGTCCAGCTCCTGATTTTGGCTCAGGTCATGATCTCAGGGTTGTGAGATGATCCCATGTAGGATTCTGTATTCAGTATGAAGTCTGTTTAAGATTCTCTTTCTCTCCCTGTCCCTTTGCCCATCCTGCCCACTTGTGCACACGTGCTCTCGTTCTTAAATAAATAAATTAAAAATGTTTTTTAAAAACCCTCAAAAACATTCTCTGTTTTAAGCTGAAATCAAAGATTTGAGTGCCCCTTGCTTTATAAAATATTGTTAAAAGTTGGGGGAGCATGGGGGAGGTTGTAAGTTGAGGGTATTTTGAAATTTTATGTTTTTTTAAGTAGACACAGATGAGATCCTGTGCCCAGAAGGATTTCTTACCCTTCCAAAGAAACCCAAGGAAACAAGCTTAAAAAGCGAGGCAGGAGTGAGGCCTTCCGAGGTTCCTGGGCATTCTAAAGGAGTGATACATAATAATTAGTAACTGGTGTAGCATTGCCCTAATTCCTCTGCACAGAACATCCCATGTTAGGATTATAGATCTATTTTGCTGGTAATTTGTAATTTGTGAGAGTAACAGAAGGACAAGGCATACTCCTTCCTCCAGTAATTTGGAGATAAGGGAATTAAAGTTGCCTTCTGAGTAAAATTCCTATAGAACAAACCAAAACAAAATCTGTAAATCTGAGTAGAATATGGGGACACTGTTTAAGATTTAAGATGGGTTAGTGCATCTTAGGGAGGCAGAACCAAGTTGTAACTATAATACAAGTATTTCTATTTTTATATCCCATATATGGAAAACACTAGTTAAAATGGAAGAGGAATATTAGAACAATAAGAAAGGATCCTAGAGAGGCAAACGTGGGTAGGTACTACCCATTTAAATACAATCAAGAGGGAAGGAGATTCTGCTCTAGAAGCATGACTGCTTCCTTCGTAAAACTGTTATCTTAGCTGAGAATTAAGACCACCTCAGTCTCTGTGTTGTATCTCTATCTCACTATAGTCCCTCTGATAATATGGCTTTCCAAATAGCTTACCAGTACGTAAAAAAAATATATTAATCAAACAGATGAAAGACTTGTATTAACAGGTTAAAAAGAAAAAGGTGTATTAGTTGCAGCAAGGAAAATAGATGAAGTGCCACACAAACCAGTGATAGTTGTTGAGGCTGAGTGGTAAGTGTTGGGGAGGTGCTGAGTTGAGGGTACTCTTTATTAATATAACCACTCTTCGCCCTACTTTTGTGAATGAACATTTGTTTGCATAATAAAATGTGTTGGTCACAAAAAAAGTCCAGGTATTTTAACTGCTTGGCTGTTGTATTTTTTTTCATAAATTTAGAAATTGGCTTTCTGCTTTAAAGATACCAGTCCCTATGCTCAGTCATTGCAGTTAGGTTTGCTTTTAGATAAAACGAGGTATCTGAATTTGCATGTCTACAAAACATTTACTAGATTGTGGAACTTGACCAAAGTAATGTCCTTTTCTGGATGTTTGGTGATCAGCGAACTAGACTTTTCCCTTAAAGTTACTTCTGGGTCACCTTTGCTAGTAGGCTTATATGCAGTTATTTCCTCAGGCAAATCTTTAAAACATTATTTCTCAAATCAGAGAATAGAAATTCTGAAGGCTGGGGGTGCCTGGGTGGCTCAGTGGGTTAAGCCTCTGCCTTCAGCTCAGGTCATGATCTCAGGGTCCTGGGATCAAGCCCCACACCAGGCTCTCTGCTCAGCAGGGAGCCTGCTTCCCTCTCTCTCTCTGCCTACTTGTGATCTCTGTCTGTCAAATAAATAAATAAAATCTTAAAAAAAAAAATTTGAAGGCTGGTGTTTCAAGATAGAGATTCTGCTTTCGTAGATAGTGATATAATTTCTTCTCCCATTATTGTCATCCCCTCATCTTTTTAAATTTTGCTTGGTTGATTATCTAGTTCCCTTTTATGTCTTTAATTATATCTTTCTCAAAGCTAATAAATATTCCATTAAATCCCCCCTGCCTTCTGTTTTTAAAGTAGTGTAATGGAGAGGCCATAGGTGATAAATACCAAAAGTAAATATCAACACTAATGACACTACTTTATAAAAAGTATTCTAGGTAGTAAGTAAAGGAGGAATGATAGAATTCTAAAACTATCATTTTGTGATGCCTCGGTGGCTCAGGTCATGATCCCAGGGTCCCATATCGGGCTCCTTGCTCAGCAGAGAGTCTGCTTCTCCTTCTGCCTCCTGTTCACCCTGTATGTGCTCCCTCTCCCTGACAAAAAACTAAAGTCTTCAAAAAAAAAATATCTATTGTTTTATAACCTGTGAAAGTTATGATTCTAGGTGGTGCTTATCAGTGACTGCTAATATCACAAAAGGGGAAACAGACATTAGTGCCTCTTTGTGGTACTACACAACACTATCAGTGAAATGTTCTTGCCAGCATATCAAATTTGAATCTAACCAAGCCTCTAGATCTAACTGCCAATATACAGAAAGTACAGAGAGGACAAAGAACATGCTAAGTGATGTCATGGAAATAGAGGTGGATTTAGCATAATCCCAGATGTAGAAAATTCAATTCTAGCTACCTGATTTCTTAGGGAATAGAGAAAATCTGTAGGTTTAAAGAAACTTAAGGATCAACCAGTTAAATTCTATGGACCTTGGATATAAACAAATTGTAGAAAAGTATTCATGATAAAGTTTGGGAGAGTTTGAATACGGACTGGATAATGATGATTTTTAAAAGTTATTATGTAGTTATAGTTATATATATTGAAATATTTATAGGTAACATTATAAGATGCCTGGAAATTGCTTTAAAATAATGCAGGAATGGGATGGGAGGAGTGAGTAGAGGTATGGCTTAAACAAGAATAGCCTTGAGTTGATGATTCCTAAAGCTAGGTGATAGGTGCATGGGGGTTCAAACGATGTACTGTCTTCTTTACTTTTGTATGTGTTATTAAATTTTCATGATAAAAATTCTTTAAAAATAACATTTCTGATTTTTGTCCTACAAACTCCTCTTAATTTTAAACATTTTTCTTGAAAAATTTTAAAACTATCTTTGTACATATATTTTATGCCTTCTATTTACCTAAAAAAATTTCATATAAATCTGATTTTTGCAAATAAAAATATTTTGAGTATAGTTACATTGTTTCTCCTTTAATAATATAAGAATCTATTTATAAACCTTTAATCACTAACTTTTTTAAAAAGTAAGTTCATGTTTTTACATATATAATAAGATTTACTTTAAAACAAGATCACTTATGCCTTCTTGTGGTATTTCTTACCTATTGCAGCTAAATAAATATGTATTTCTTAAATTTAGTGAGATGTTATTTTTTATTATACATTGGATTTTAAATGTTTTACTTTTATTATCTTCTAAATCTACAAGCTAATCAAACTCATTCAGCCCCTTTGAGATCTTATTTTTTTACTTTTAGTTTACTTTAATTTTTACTTTTTGCTTCCCAGATAAAAGTCTGTTTATAGCTTTCTAGTTCAATATATAACTGATATTAAGCCTCTGAAGATTGATGGTTGGCTACTTATAAAGTGTCCTAACCTTAAATACTAAGTTGACTTTTTCGGTTTGGGGTTTGTTGTTGTTTTGTTTTGTTTTGTTTTTGGGTTTTTTTTTTGCAGCTTAACTGTTTATTTACTTCACCAACTTGGATGCTTATTATCATCTCATGTAGTCAGTTGTATTTTTACTTTAGGTACTTGCTACAGCCAAGAGACAATGGAAATAAGTCATCTAAAACTGATGATCTGGGGTCTCTTCGATTAAATATATGTTATACAGAAGACTATGTGCTTCCATCAGAGTACTATGGTCCTTTGAAAACGTTGCTGCTAAAATCACCAGATGTTCAGGTACTTAAAAATCATAAGGGTATGATTTAATATGAAACGGCTAAAATAATTCTGTAAATTATGTAGAAAATATTTCAGAGTATCAAGTTTTATTAAAATGGGGTGGTTGTGTGTGTGTGTGTGTAAAATTTATCTGGACCACAGTACTGTGATTCCAGAACATGCTTGAAATTTTCATCTCTGAGAAAAATTTAAAAAAATTAAATATTGTTCTATATAACAGTAATAGTCAGTAAATATGCTTGAATTACTTATACAGGCTAGTGATTGAACATTTAGTCATATTTCCTTGATTTTGTGCTTGTTTTTGCCTTTCTGTATTCTAGCCTATATCTGCCTCAGCTGCTTACATTTTGGGTGAAATTTGTCGAGATAAAAATGATGCCGTTTTGCCCCTTGTACGACTGCTGCTGCACCATGATAAACTTGTTCCTTTTGCCACTGCAGTGGCTGAATTAGACTTGAAGGATACACAGTAAGAGTTATATTAAAATGTTAATTATGTGTGTTGAGATTGGATTTTAGTCTGCCAAATTGTTTTTGTAATTTCACTTCTTTTGTGTTGACCAATCCTATTCCTACTGAATAGGATTCTGAAAAGAACTGCTTAGCAAGAGATAAAAGGCAGTTCTTTAAGTTAGCAAACAGTATCCACCAACAGCAACATGAACAGTTGATGAAGGGTTTTTTAATTCAGTGTCAAAATTTCCTGTTACTCATCTTTGCTACTGTTTGTAATGATTCACGTGTCACAGATTAAGTACTAGGTCAGAAGTTGGGTTGGGTTTTTTTCCTTACCCATTATCACCCCTATATACATATATGTGATACCATGAAAAACAGTCACCTGGCTTTGCAGTCCTGTCATAGCACTGTTTCATACACACACAAACATTCTACTTTTGTAGTTCATTAATATCATTTGCTTTTTTTTTTTTTTTTAAACTTACTATTTGGGGTAAATAGTTTTGGTAAGTTTGAAAAGCCTAATGGCAGCAAGTTTTTTTTTTCTTTAAATTTATTTAATTAACATACAATATATCATTGGTTTCAGAGGTAGAGGTCAGTGATTCATCAGTCTTACATAATACCAGTGCTCATTACATCATGTCCCCTGTTTAATGTCCATCACCCAGTTACCCCATTCTCTCCACTACCTCCCTTCCAGCAACCCTCAGTTTGTTTCCTATGATTAAGAGTCTCTAATGGTTTGTTCCTCTCTGATTTTGCCTTTTTGTTCCTCTCTCTTTCCCTCTTATCCTCTGTTTTGTTTACTAAATTCTACAAATGAGTGCAATCATAATGGTAATTGTCTTTCTCTTATTTTGCTTAGCATAAAACCCTCTGGTTCCATTCATGTCATTGCAAATGGCAAGATTTCATTCTTTTTGATAACTGAGTAGTATTTCCATGTGTGTTTATGTGTGTGTGTTTATACACATGCCACATCTTCTTTATACATTCATCTTTGATGGACATCTGAGGTCTTCCCATAGTTTGGCTATTGTGGACATTGCTGCTATAAACATTGGGGTGCACGTGCTCCTTCTTTTCACTACTTTTATGTCTTTGGAATAAATACCCAGTAGTGTAATTGCTGGGTCATAGGGTAGCACTATTTTCGACTTTTTGAGGAACCTCCATACTGTTTTCCAGAGTGCCCGTACCAGCTTGCATTCCCACCAACAGTGTAAGAGGGTTTCCCTTTCTCTGCATCCTCCCCGACATCTGTCGTTTCTAGAGTTGTTAATTTTAGCCATTCTGACTGGGGTGGGGTGGTATGTTGTGGTGGTTTTGATTTGTATTTCCCTGATGCCAAGTGATGATGAGCATTTTTTCATGTGTCTGTTGGCCATCTGTATGTCTTCTTTGTCTTACGTCTTGGCAGCAGGCTTTTTAAATGGATGGTAAAGGGGTGCCTGGGTGGCTCAGTGGGTAAAGCCTCTGCCTTCAGCTCAGATCATGATCCCAAGGTCCTGGGATCGAGCCCCGCATCAGGCTCTCTGCTCAGCAGGGAGCCTGCTTTCCCCTCTCTCTCTCTGCCTGCCTCTCAGCCTACTTGTGATCTGTCTGTCAAATAAATAAATAAAATCTTAAAAAAAAAAAAATAAATGGATGGTAAAAATTACTAAAATTGTATATATAGCCAAAGTCATGTATCTCATGTTATGGATTTCACAGCATCCGTTTACTGCTCTTGGTTTCATCTTATTTCTGTTTGTATTTCAGAGATGCAAACACAATTTTTAGAGGAAATTCCTTGGCTACCCGATGTCTGGATGAGATGATGAAAATAGTGGGAGGGCACTACCTGAAAGTCACATTAAAACCTATTCTAGATGAGGTACGGGCTATACCTCTGATAATTGAAGTCTCTGTGGCCTCATGATACAGCCTCTCTTTCATCAAGTGATCTAGTGATAGGGATGATACACCTGTTCATGTATTACTGAAAGAATAAGGCTGAACCCTTCAGATGTACCTTTCCATCAGTGGATTTTTACTGAAAGGGCACGCTCAGTATAATCTACATAATTGGGGGAGTGTTACTGATTTCTTTTTTTTTTTTTTATTGTTGTTGTTACTGGATTACAGTTTTAGCTAGAGTTTCAAATACATGAGAAATGAATTTTGACAGTTCTTTTGCAGTATTGTATATATTGTCTCTGGATTGGGGATATATATAAACTTTGTTACGGTTTTAACTTTTATAATTGTATTATCAGGAAAATAGTTATTTTCATTTTGCCAAATTATTTATAAAAGAGCATTAAATGAAAAATTAATCTGTCTTCCAGATATGTGAATCCTCAAAATCCTGTGAAATTGATCCTATTAAATTGAAAGAGGGAGATAATGTAGAAAATAATAAGGTAAGTCCTTGTTATCTTTATAACTGCCTTAAAATGGGCTTTCTGCCAAACATAATCTTCCATAATACTATATGTTAGGATGTAGTGCTTTTTATTCTTTACTTAATGCTTATACTATTAGCATTTCCTGTGTCTAGTTTTTAGAATGTTGTTATTTCCTCATGGGGTTTCACTTTATTTTTATTCTTGATTATCTCTCTTTGGCTGTAGTAACAATAATGGAATAAGGCTGTATCTAGTTGCAGCCTCCATTCTAGCCATTCCTTTGGAGTCAGACTGACCAGGCTAAGTGGCACAATGATTTGGTCAACCAACATTTTAGTCGGGTCTGGGAAAACAGTGACTGTTGTAGAGTCACAGGTTTTCATTGCACTGAATGAAATTGCCACAGTGTCCGTGTGCCTGCATATCTGAGTTATTTCCTTGATTTCCCTTTAGATCATTTTATTCTCTGTTGCTTCTTGTGAAATTTATTCCATACGTTCACCAGTTATATTTAGCTAATCTCATTCGAATTTGTTAAACAAGATCAAGATATAAATTGTCCTTTAACTGAGTGAATTTAGAGAAGGGAAGCAGAGCTTTAGTATACTGGATAGTAACTGCCTACTCTCATTTTCACTGCATTGTTTTCCATAAAGGCTATGGAAAATGTGTAAGAGTTAAAATCCTGATGTTTACCTTGTTAAATCCTACAGGAGAATCTGCGCTACTATGTAGACAAGTTATTCAGTACAATTGTAAAATCAAGTATGAGCTGCCCCACTGTAATGTGTGATACCTTTTACTCTCTAAGGCAAATGGCTACTCAGAGATTTCCTAGTAAGTGCCTTGTTTTACTAAAACATGCCATTTCTTTTTCTGTATTTGATTTTTTTTTATAGATTTACTCTGGATTTGGCTTATATGAAATGTTTAAAGTTTATAGGTACAGTCTTCTTTGCAAAATAGTTACAGCTTTTTTATGAAACATCTCATTTAATTTCCTTACCATCTCAAAACATACATTGTTTATTTCAGTGTAATGACAACTTATTACAAAGAGCAAATAAAAAATCACCATTATTTTTAAGAAAGGTAAACATTTATACTAGGTACTTATGAGATTGTTAAATGTAATAACACCTTTGTTATTTTTTCCTTTTTCACTTCATTTAAATAATGAGAATTTTTAGTTCAATACAGCTGACTGGATTTGACAGTTTGAGAATGCTAAGGTGTTAGAAAATGCTAAGGACATTTTTACAGACATGGTTCAAGACATTAGAAACATCTCTGTTGCAATAGACATAGAATTTTGAGGACATATATCAGTCAATACATGCTTTAATTTGGTAAAATAGCAGTGTCAAGGCTTTGTTTAGAAACACATAAAAATAAGAGTTGCTGTCTCTGATTATCAATATTTGGAATTATTCTAATTACATGCATCTCTGATAAGTAAATAAACTTGCTATAACTGTCTTTCCAGATCTGCCTATTGTAATAAGGGGAAAGGGGAGGAAGTAAGGTGACTACTTAAATTATTAGTCTTACCCAGATGTGTGAGACTGTAAGTGTACTTCTGTAACCATCTGAAGAATTTATTTTGTTCTTCTAAGTGTGATGCATAGTGTGTGCTTTTATCAGCCCCTTGACTAAATTTACCCAGTGCTAAAGTCATAGGGCTGAGTTGTCTAACTAACGTGTATAAATTCAGACCTAGATGCCTTTGCTAATTCTACTAAAGACATAAACAGTCAACTTCAAATAAGTATACTAAATCTAGTCTTTTTTTATTTTTTAAATACTTTATTTATTTGACAGAGAGAGAGATATCATTAGTAGAGAGGCAGGCAGAGAAAAAGGGAGAAGCAGGCTCCCCACTAAGCAGAGAGCCTGAGGGTGGGCTCAATCCCGGGACCCTAAGATCATGACCTGAGCTGAAGGCAGAGGCCCAACCCACTGAGCCACCCAGGCGCCCCTAACTCTAGTCTTTACAACACAAGTAAAGGGAGCAGAGATATTAATATAACACTGAAGTTATGTTTTTAAATAGTGAGTTAAATCATGACAAGCACATTGAGTATTTAGTGAGTGAACACACAGTGCTACTCCTACTCTAATGCTCACACCACCTCATGAGGTGTGAGGTACTGCTCCCCTTAGGTAAATAATGAAACTAAGGTTTAGAAATGTTATATAACATGCTTGAGGTCCAAGACATGGCCAGCAGACAAGAAGGATCTCCAACCTGGGTTTGGCCTCTACCAAAGCATATTGCTAATCATTGGACTCTGTACTACCCAGTGATCTTGGCCTTAAAAAATATTTTTACTTCTGTTTGTAGAAATGATCTAAAGTACTTTTTATGCCTTTTTATAAAAGCAAGTGTGTCTCTTGTACTTTTTGTTGGATTAAATATTAATATATTTTCATATCTTCAGTGGACTACAGTAGTGATAGTTTTGTTGTCGTAAAATACTTTCATACTTTCTCATTTCTGTTACCGTGGGAAGACGAATGGAGAGTAGGGAGGAGACAGTGGCAGCAAGTATTATTGAAAAACTACAAGTTAAATGGCTTGCACATTGAGTGACTTTTATAAGAGTTAAAACTCAAACCAAACCCAGACTTTTTTTCCCCTTTACTGCCTGCTTCTCTGTCTTCTGATGTTAAGTATTGACTCCACTTTGAAACAAAAGCAGTAGGTGAATGACAAAAACCGCAAGTTGTCTTCAGTTCATCTTCATTTTTATGTGGAATATTGATCGCTTTTTTAAAGGAAAGATTCCTGTTAGTTGTTTTTATTGCATTGTCTTTGATATTATCAAGAGGGGAAAATTGAAGCAATATTCTAAAACTGAAAATAACCTATCCTGGTCTTAAAGGATTCAGCATCACCACTAGGTAGTGCTAGATACTACTTTATTTTTGTTGAAATTTCAGGAGTCTCTCCTTGCAGATGAGGAAAGAGGTCTTTTTCCTAATTAAGATATTTCTGAAAACCTGGTAGCTTTTTTGCCTTTCTTTTTTAAAAATTTTTTTATTATTCCTTTCAGATTTTTTTTTAGTCATAGGATTTTTTTCCTTTAATTTAGTCATAATCATTACTATCATTTCATCAGCTCAGTGTCCACTAGACAGATTATATTGATCTCCTATTTAGTTTACATGTTTTTCAATATTTTTTATTTTGTCATCTTTGTTTTTTAATTCAGTGTTTTTGTGCATGACATTTCACCATTTTTTTCCTGCAGATGACCCTCATGTTCAGTATTCTGCAGTGAGCAGCTTTGTATTTCTTCGTTTCTTTGCTGTAGCCGTAGTATCACCTCATACTTTTCATTTGCGACCTCATCATCCAGTAAGTGTTGTTCTTCTCAAAGCTTTATTCCATTTTTATTTATTTTTATTAAAATTTTAAAAAGAATATAACAAGCCAGTTTCACTTAGCTGTTTTCTTATAACTGGTACTTAAATTTACTGGGCATTTTCCTTGGCTATTTCAGTCTTTCAGAGAAGGCTGAAAATTCCAGTTTTTGTTGCTGTTAAAAGATATTGTGCAAGAGTAATAAGATGTTGATAGTTGTTGAAGCTTGATGGTAGGTACGAAGAGGATCCATTGCATTTACCCTCCACTATTGTGTGTGTTTGTAAATTTCCATAATACTAGAGTTGTTTTTGTTTTTGTTTTTTCATGAGTTACAGGTTTAGTTTAATCTCACAGGTATTTTTATATCTCACAGAAGTTTGAAGAGGCTCATTTCTGAAAGGTGTAGAACCTTTGATTGGAACATAATTTGGTATCTCCACATTTTTTACTTTTTATTCACCTGATATTATAAATATAAGAGATTTAAAATTTTAAAAATGTTCTGCAGTCTATTTAATTGTTTATATCTGAATCTACTGCATAGATGTACATGTTTCTTAAAACTCCTTTTTTTGCTCTTTCTTTCCTCCTAATATGGAGTATTTTTGTTGATTCTTTAACCTTTTATGTTCCAAATATTTTATAATCTTATCTAATTGCTTTCCTTGCTGATTGGTATGACACATAATAATAATAATAATAATAATAATAATAGCCAACATTTACTTAGGGCTTTGTAATAGGCCTTATTCTAAGTACTTTATGTGTTTTAACTTACTTGGTCCTCCCTGTGAGGTATTCTGTTATCATCCCCATTTGCAGATAAGAATACCACAATTCAGCAATTTCTCTGTGGTCACACAACTGGTCAAATATGATTTGATCTCACTCAGTTTGGACTGGTTAAACTGGAATGCTGTCTCCTTCAGTCTTCTCAATCTTTGAGCTCAACCCTGTTCTTTCCGGCCTCTTGGGGAGTAAAGTGTTCAGACATCTGTAATGTTTCCATCACTGTGCTCACTGCTAGAAATGCAGTGATGAGGAAGACACTCTCTGCCCTTAGGGAACTTATATAGGGTAGAAAGGACACATGGGTTTTGGAGTTAAACTGGGCTTTGAAGGCCACTCCTCTTCACAGCTGCATGATATTGCCCACTCATTTCACTTTGAGAACTGTGTAGAACCATGCTACTTTTGCAGCAATATATCCTTTCTTGCCAAAGGACAGTCTGTGAATAGCTACAGCAGAGAGTGGGCCAGTGTCCTTTTGATCACAGGACTCCCCTTTCTTATGGCTATGTTACTGAAGCTGTACAGAATTCTGGGTCTGAAAAAGCTTAGTAACAGCATTCTAGATATAAACAGAACTCCCACCTCTGAGCTTGTGACCCTGCCTTGTAGTCAGACTTGGATTTGTATATTTCCATAACAGATGTTGCAATAAAGTCCTTCTAGCCACAGACTTCATATTTTAGGTCACTTTTCCAATCAGTATGCTAGAAGGACTAGTTTATACTGTGTCGTATAACCTTATTGTTTGCTTTTAAGGGTAAACTTACCCCCCTTTTCAAGAACTTTTCATTCTAATTGGGAAAATAGGACAAATATGAGATACATCATCTAAAACTAGTACCTGATTTTTACCAAGTTAAGGCATACTATGGAAATTGAGAGCACGGAGTAATCCCAAGAACCTGGGAGTAATGGGGTTATCAAGACCAGTATTGAAAGGTTGGGTGGTTTTCGAGAACTGATTAATGGTTATTGGATGTTACATTTAGACATTCTTTGAATTTTGAGAAACCAGTTGTTGTTTTTTTTTAAAGATTTTATTTATTTATTTGACAGAGATCACAAGTAGGCAGAGAGGCAGGCAGAGAGAGAGGGGGAAGCAGGCTCCCTGCAGAGCAGAGAGCCCGATGTGGGGCTTGATCCCAGGACTCTGGGATCATGACCTGAGCTGAAGGCAGAGGCTTTAACCCACTGAGCCACCCAGGTGCCCCGAGAAACCAGTTTTAGTAGAGCACAAGAAAATCAGATTGCAGAAGATTAAAAAATAAATCGGTAAATGTAGTTTTTACCCAGGAAATATATCAAAATTGAGCTTGCCCTGTTGCTAATAAAAGACGTAGGTAAATTCAAACAAGTACGTGTGTGTACATACAAACATGAGTGAATAATCTTTTTAAAATGCTGATTTTTAAAATATGGGTTATGTTAACATTTTAAAATATGGGTTATGTTAACATGGTAGACTACTCTTTTTTTTTTTTTTAGATTTTATTTATTTATTTGACAGACAGTGATCACAAGCAGGCAGAGAGGCAGGCAGAGAGAGAGAGAGAAGCAGGCTCCCTGCTGAGCAGAGAGCCCGATATGGGGCTCGATCTCAGGACCCTGAGATCATGACCTGAGCCGAAGGCAGAGGCTCAACCCACTGAGCCACCCAGGTGCCCCGGTACACTACTCTTTTGAGAAGTTTCATGGTGGGGGAGAAAAAAGGATTGAACCATTTTTCTCATCATACCCCTCATTCTCTCACTGATAGTGTTCCTTCAGGACTCAGTCAAGGCAGACTTCTCTAATGTCTAGTCTGGGTTAGGTTCCTCTCTTATGTATACCTGTAGCATCCTGTGACTTTCTGTGTCTTGATGTTTGTCATACTATTCTATAATCATCTGTTTACAGTCTCTGAATGTGGAGTGTCAATACCCAAGAGCAAGGGTTGAATCTTTTTCAAGTTTGCGAATCCCAAGCACAATACACAGTTTCTAGGATAAGTAGATACTCGGTGAATGTTTGGTAAGTGAAAGATAGTAGCTCAGAGAGGGAGCTGGTCAAATGATGAGTCTTCTCCAAAATGGGAAAATTGATATGTAGTTTGAGCAGAAGAGAAGAAACCAACAGAAAGGGAGAAATTGAAGAGAGAAGAGGGCTTGCTAATAACCAGATCAGTATCCTGGAGGATTTAGATTGTTTGAAAAGAAAAAGGTATAAACTTTAGGAAAAGAGTAATTCCTCCTTTGAGATATGGTGAACCGTATGAAGTTGTTTTATGTTTGTAGATCAAAAGTAGTCAAATAATAGTGATTCCATGTGGTTCAACCTCATATAAGGAAAAGAGGATAAGATAGTTGTTTTGAGGTAGAAGTCAACATTTTAGTTGAATTTAATAAAAGTTATAAAGCATCTACTAGATGCCTGTGCCAGGCTGTGTGCTAGGTACCAGATGTCTAAGGTACTGGACAGCCATAAAAAATTATGATGGCAGATGGTAGCCGGGGAAGAATTTAGAACAGCTTGTATGTGGAGTACACCAGGGAATCAGTAGTAGCTAAATGATATGATTGTCACATAGTAGTGAGGGCTGTGTTGATGTAAACAAATGTCTGATGTGCAGTAATTGTATAAAATGCGCTTTGCTCTTTTTAGTTCAGGGAAATCATAACCTAAAACAGTGATCTTAAAACCAGATTTGAACAGGGAAGTCTTGGTGAAATTCAGTTCAAATTCATTTTATTAGCCATTGTTAAGAATCTTGGTGTGCCTCAAAGGCAGAGAATTGGGATTTTTTTTTTTTTTTAGATTTTATTTATTTATTTGACAGAGGGCGAGATCACAAGTAGTCAGAGCAGCAGGCAGAGAGAGGAGGGGAAGCAGGCTCCCCACCGAGCAGAGAGCAGGCAGACAGTCCTATGCAGGGCTCCATCCCAGGACCCTGAGATCATGACTTGAGCCAAAGGCAGAGGCTTAACTCACTGAGCCACCCAGGTGCCCCTGTAGGGATCTTTTATACATATGATGGAATTCTGGATGTTCTAGCTAAAATATTTCTGAATAAATTTAATTGAGGTGTGTAACCATTTCATAAATATATCATAATGATCATATTCCCGATATTCCTTTTTTTCCAGATTGCCTTATATCCTGGTCATCTCTTCTCCTTCACATTCACTGTCATTTTCAATGTGGGGTTACTAAAATATTAAGGAATGTAACCAAAAACTAAACTAAAGCAATTTCTGTATCTAAAGTTTCTTAAATCTGTGTTTTGGTGGAAGATACTGTTTATTTGAATCTCCAAAATAAAGAAATTCTATATGTGATAGGAGAATTGGTTATACAAATATATGGATTGGTGGAAACTCATTGGGTTATGTACATTTAAAATCTGTTCATTTCATTATATGTAAATTATACCTCAGGTTTTTTTTTTTGGTTTTTTTTTTTGTTTGTTTGTTTGTTTGTTTGTTTTAATTTGTTTGACAGACAGATCACAAGTAGGCAGAGAGGCAGGCAGAGATACAGGAGGAGGAGGCAGGCTCCCTGATGAGCAGAGAGCCCGATGTGGGACTCGATCCTAGGACCCTGAGATCATGACCTGAGCCGAAGGCAGAGGCTTTAACCACTGAGCCACCCAGGCGTCCCTATACCTCAGTTTTTTAAAAAAAGGGAGCAAGGACTCATCAGGGGAGCTGCTTAGTCCATTTTATTTATATTTAGATTTTTTGGTAGGCAGGCCCAAAAAATACCTTGGATAACAGACCCAAATAGTTACCTTCTGCTAAGATCCTACACAAACCAGGTAACTTCTCATTTCTTAAGTTTAGTTAGGTCTTTGCTTCCATGATGAAAATAATTGATTGTACAAGCTGTATCAGTTATTGAGTAGGGTTAGAGGTGGATTGAGTACAGAAAATTTGGAAACTGCCATTTTAAGTTACAAGATAGAAGAGGTGGATGTGATTGACGTTTCAAAAGTGAATATAGTTTGTTAGGTAATCCAAGCTGCCATACTGTACAAAACAACATATGTAGTATCAAAATGCGGCTTTCAGAAGTAACACATTGTTGAATACAGTTACTTTGGGAGGAATTATAAATGACATCTGGCTTCTTTAAGTCTCTTAAATTCCTTGGTCTGGTGAGTTCTGCCCATCATAAACTAGAGTTTGAATGCGCATTTTTGAATCACTGTATTAAAGTAATGTAGCCTATTCACTCTCTTCTACGTCTTACACAAATTCTGTTTCTTAAAAATTTAACAGAAATTTGGTCTTTTTTACATTCTTTAGGATCCACAGACAGTTAGAACATTAACCCTGATCTCAAAAACCATTCAGACTTTGGGAAGCTGGGGGAGTCTGTCCAAAAGCAAGGTAAGTCTTTATATCTTTTGCTTTGTATTCACACTTCTAAATCTGGTTATACCTTAGGATCCCTTCTCTCTCACTCATTCCCTTCCAAATTAAAAACAAAGCAAAACCAAAAATATGCATATACATATGCAGTAGTCATCTTCTAGATAGCTGTTGTCTCTTAGTTACCTGTTAATGAAGTTTTATTTGAACTAATACATCTAACTAAAGACATTTGCATAAAATATAGTCAATCTTTTAATTTTTTTGTTTTGGGAAGTGTTACTTTCATTTAAACATGTAATTTACATTAACATGAAATGGGATTATTATTTATATCAAAATAAAAATGAATTAGCAATCATTTAAATTTGTAAAAAAAAAAAAATAAACTAAGCAGAGGAGAGAGTCTGGTGGACAGATCTAAGAACTGTCTATGAATCTGTGCCATAATCATCTAACAGTTGTTGAAAGAAATCCTACTCCAAACCCTATAATTCTCTTGAAATACATGATTGAATCCTTTAAGGCCTTAATCCTCAGCTTAGAAATGCAGTTCATTATAGTCTTAGTTCTCTATTTAACATATATAAATTCTGTGTGGTTTTTTTTTCCTAGTCAAGTTTCAAAGAGACATTCATGTGTGAATTTTTCAAAATGTTTCAAGAAGAAGGATATATTGTAGCAGTTAAAAAGGTATGATTGTTTTACTCTGGAAAATTAACATTTCTTATCATATAACATTGGGGAAATGTTAGCATTTCATGTTACAACTAGAAGTCAAGCCTCAATTTAAAAAAAGTAATGTTTAAACTGTACATCAGATACAAAGAGGCTGTCTTTTTCTTCCTTTCTTCTACCATACAAAACTGTGGGATTTTTAGCTGTGGAAATACCTAAATGTTCAACAACAGCTGCTGTTTGCCATTGTCTTAGTAACACAAGTGACAAATAGCTAGGGTAAGGGTTTCTTAACAGCAGCAGTATGGACAATTGGGTCAGATAATTTTTGATTGCAGCCCCTCACAATCAGAAATTATCCTTGTACATTGTAGGATGTTTAGCAGCATCCTTGGCCTCCACCAATTAGATGCCGGTAGGATGCCTCAAGTTTTGATAACCAAACATGTCTGTAAACACTGCCAGGTGTTCCCTGACGAATAAAATTGTTTCTGATTAAGGACCTCTGGTCTAAGGAGGGTAAAGTCTTAGAATGGTGCCTGATATATAGTGGGTACTTGTCATAGTAAAAAAATACATGAATTATTGAATAGTTTATAAATAATATAAGCTGTAGTAGTAACTTGAGGAAAGTTACTGTAAATTAAAATGTATTGTAAATGCACAAAAGACCACAGTATATAATAGCCTAACACAAGGCCTATAACATATAAAAATTGCTGTACTTAGAAATCAGGAATGTTTGGAAAAGATCTTTAATTTCTTGTGTCTTTAATTCGGAATCATTCTAAACAAAATGTAGTTTTATTATAAAATGCTAAAATTCGTAAAGTTACTTTGAAGTACACCTAAATTTAGCTTGAAGAAATACTGTATTGTATTTTATCATGATCTTGATTTAATGAATCAAAATTAGCAAGGCCAAATTTTAAAGATTTTACTCAATTTCTGTATCATGATTGATTCACAGTTAACTGCCAAGAGTATATTTTTGTTGAAGTATGTATCTGTACTTTTTGCATGTGTGCTTAGAATTCTTACAGGGATTCAATAAATGAAAAAGGGTGATTTTTTTTAAAAAGCCAGTTGGAATATTTTTCATCTAGAATAGTGCAAGTTCAACTAAAATCTTTTTAGACAACCACTGAAGGCTTTTGAGGAGAAAGACTTTAAAAAGAATAGGCAAAGGAAAAGTTGCCCTTTTATTTGTAGGACATTGTTGAAACATTTGTGGGACAGTGTAGGCAGACTTTTGTTGGCAAGATTATAATGTACTGTCTTTTGTTTGAGGGTTGTTTTGCCATTTTTTTATGACCTAGGCTATGGTATCAGCTGATTTTTTTTTTCCTGTCAGAATGTGTAGAGTTGATAATGTCAGTGAAGAAAATACTTAAGAGTGCCAGGAGTTGAGCCTGTTCCTGATCTGTCCTATGTCACCTACTCACATTCTCATGGGCTATCACCATAGTACATTTCTTGTTTTAGATGTGGATCTAGACTCCTAAACTAGGATAGGATATTTTGTCCTAATCTGAGAGTTTTCTTTATTGTTTGCTAGCTAAGTCTGGATATGTACATTGCTAGAAATTGCAAAAGCCTATTAATTCCAGTTTCTCATTTTGTATTGGTGTACTGTTCCCACAGACTTTAGGAAGGGCAACATGGATAGTTCTATTATAGAGTGACCATATAATTTAGTGTCCAAACCCAGGTACTTTAAAGAGTGAAAATGAGTATTATTGATAATGTTGGGACCACAGCTATAGACAGGGATGGCCCTGAGCAAATTGGGACCTATATTCACCCTCCATATAATATAGTTCATCTTAATTTTTATGTTTTCTTTCCTTTTTTTTTTAAGATTTTATTTATTTATTTGACAGATAGAGATCACAAGTAGGCAGAGAGGCAGGCAGAGAGAGAGAGGAGGAAGCAGGTTCCCTGCGAGCAGAGCCCAATGTGGAGCTTAATCCCAGGACCCTGAGATCATGACCTGAGCCGAAGGCAGAGGCTTTAACCCACTGAGCCACCCAGGCACCCCACTTTCTTTCACTTTATATAATTGTACTTACCCCATAGTTCCTTATAAATATAACAGATAATAAATCCAGTAATTATAAATAAATGATAAATAATTTTCAAATAAATCAGTGCCTTCAGGCAAACACTAAGAAATAAAATATTCAAGTATGTCTCTTACCCGCCATTAGTGGATGGTCCATCTATAAGAACTGGTCCATCCTATGTGATAGGACACTTGTTTAGTTCCTTTGTATGCTTTTTAAAAGTTTTTTTATTATTTTTTAATTAACATACAATGTATTATTTGTTTCAGGGGTACAGGTCTGTGAATCATCGGTCTTACACAGTGCACAACACTTACCACAGCACATAACCTCCCCAACGTCCATAACCCAGCCACCCCATCCCTACAACCCAACCCCCCCGCAACCCTCAGTTTGTTTCCTGAGATTAAGAATCTCTTATGGTTTATCTCTCTCCTGATCCCATCTTGTTTCATTTTTTTCCCTCCCTACCTGCCACAACTCCCTGCCCTGCCTCTCAAATTTCTCATCTCAGAGAGATCATATGATAATTGTCTTTCTCTGATTGACTTATTTCACTTAGCATAATACCCTCTAGTTCTATCCACATCATTGCAAATGACAAGATTTCGGGGTTTTGATGGCTGCATAGTATTCCATTGTGTATATATATACCACATCTTCTTTATCCATTCCTCTGTTGATGGACATCTATGTTCTTTCCATAGTTTGGCTATTATGGACATTGCTGCTATAAACATTGGGGTGCATGTGACTCTTCAGATCACTACATTTGTATCTTTAGGGTAAATACCCAGTAGTGCAACTGCTGGGTCACAGGTTAGCTTTATTTTTTACTTTTTGAGGAACCTCTACTGATTTCCAGAGTGGCTGCACCAGTTTGCATTCCCACCTACAGTATATGACAATTCCCCTTTCTCCGCATCCTCGCCAACATATGTTTTTTCTTGTTAACTTGAGCCATTCTGACTGGCGTGAGGTGGTATCGCACTGTGGTTTTGATTTGTATTTCCCTGATGCTGAGTGATGTTGAGCACTTTTTCACGTGTCTTTTGGCCATCCGGATGTCTTCTTTGCAGAAATGTCTGTTGGTTGTGTACTTTTTTTTTTTTTTTAAAGATTTTTATTTATTTATTTGACAGAGATCACAAGTAGACAAAGAGGCAGGCAGAGAGAGAGGAGGAAGCAGGTTCCCCGCCGAGCAGAGAGCCCGATGCGGGGCTCAGTCCCAGGACCCCGGGATCATGACCCGAGCGGAAGGCAGAGGCTTTAACCCACTGAGCCACCCAGGTGCCCCGGAGAGAGAGAATCTGAAGCAGGAGTTCTACCTCACAACTCTGAGATTATGACCTGGGCCAAAATCAAGAGTCGGACGCTTAACTGACTCAGCCATCCAGGCGCCCCATTTAGTTCCCTTATATACCTGTTCTGTATCACCACATATAATATAGTGCAAAAGAAACTCTGTTCTTAATCCTTCACTTACCAAAATTTCTTTCTTATGTGCTAGAAGGAAACATTGGAAAAAATTTTTAGTGTGGCTTCTAGTGGGCAGTCTTAAGCCAGTCTTGAGAGAATATGACTCCACATGAATTCTACTTTAGGTTAGGTACTTGTGCCTTTGTGCCTCAGTGTCTTCGCTATTTGAATGTACTTTTTTTTTTCGTAGTCCCAAGGGGGACAACATAGAAAAGTATAAAGGAAAAAGCAAGGGCTAGACAAAGGGCAGTTCATTTATGGGACAAAATAGAATTCCTCTCTAAGAACAAGAATTGTTCCTTGAAATACTAATTTCTCTTTCCTGTGATGAGACAGCCATGTACCAGGAAGCTCTTGACCAGTCAAGGTAGCATGTTCATGAAGCTAACTGCTCTTCACAGGAGTGGCTTGCCATTGCTAGAGATGGCTACTCCAAATTTTCTTGAGCCACCACCTTCCCATTCTCCCTAGGAAGTTTATAAATTGTGATTAGATTTCCACTTTCTTCCAGAGAACCCAATTACATTTCAGTCATAATCATGAAATGCTATCTCTCAGGGCTGCAGTCAGTCATACATAATAGAATTCAGCAAAATCTTTTCTGTGAAAGGCCAGTGAGTAAATATTTTAGGCTTTCCTGGCCACATAAGGGGTCTGTCCCATATTCTTATTTGTTTTTGTTCTTGCAGCCCTTTAAAAATATAAAAACTGTTCTTAACTCACAGGCCCTGAAAAAAAAGCAGGCTGCAGGTTGAATTTGGCCACTAAGCCATAATTTGGTGATCTTGACATATAATATAGGTTCACAGTCCTTTATCTAAAATCTTTGGGACCAGAAATATTTCAGAATTCAGTTTTTCAGTTTTAAAAGATAATAGGTCTGTGCTATATACCTATTATACCCCCATGGGGCCCGAGGTAACACACCATAATCAAACACAGAGAGTACAATGTATAAATATTCACACTAAGTAAGATAAATACAGACTATAGATAGCCTTTGATAGTTCAGATTAAGTTGTGCCCCCAGATGAGTTTACTGTCAATCAAAAAGCAAAACAACTCTTTTTATTCAGAACTTTATAGATTTCAGAATGGTAGTTTAAGGACTGTAGATTGAGCTATTTTTTAGGGAAACATATTCCGGGTTTTAAGTGACTTGAGAATAAACTTTTTAGAACACCTATCCAATGTGTAACTTAGGACTTCCTCTACAATTAAATATGTGCTTTGCTTTATAAGTTATAATTATATGTATTCCTTAAAGAACTTTTATCAGTGATATTGAAGATAAACTGAATTTTTGATGTATGTTATCACAAAGTGTAATTTTTGTCCATTTCTCTATTTAGTTCTTGGATGAAATTTCATCTACTGAAACTAAAGAATCCAGTGGTACGAGTGAGCCTGTGCACCTGAAAGAAGGGTAATTTAATGAATTTAGAGATTAAAGTCATGTCAGTATAGATGTTACGTGAGTACAAAAAGCATGGGTGTGGAAGTGAGGAAATCTGGGTTTTGTTCTGTCTTAGAACTGCTTAAGTAACATCCATTAGGTAGGTCACACTGTCGTATGAACTTTATGCCACATAGGATTGATTCCTTGTTCATGCAGTCCTAGAGTAGTTTTGTAACTAATGAGATTATGGATATTAGAGTACTTTGAAAAAGTAACAGCACTCTTCAGACTTGAAGCATTGTTATCATTGGAAGTTAAAGGGGAACTTTAGTTAAAGTTTGGTCCTTTCAGTTCTGAATAGCACAATTATAAGTATTAAATTAAGACTTTATTCCCTTAGCATGACCAAAATAAATACAGAAGTTATAGATAACAAAGACATTTTCATATACTTAATATGATCCTACATGGCCTTTCATGTCAAAGAACAGTTTTTGTTGTGGATGAACTATTTTAATATTTGTAACTAAATTTTCCTATCTGTTGTTTTGGCAGTGAGATGTATAAAAGAGCTCAGGGAAGAACTCGGATTGGGAAAAAGAATTTCAAGAAACGGTGGTTCTGCTTAACAAGCAGAGAGCTCACCTACCACAAACAGCCAGGTAGTTGTGTTTATGCTTTATTTGGGGGCTTTTTCCTTGTTTTCGGTGAAGATAGCTTTTTTTGTTGGTGTTGCTTAGTATAACTCTGGCCAAGCTTTTCACTAATAATTACTGCAGTGTATAGTTTCTCCCAGTGATGCAAACACATTAAGGATGCAGTAAATACCTGGCAGGCGACACCGTGTAAATTCCATTTTTTTCCCCTCACACGTGCTCTGTTTTCTAAAGAAATCCTTGGTAAATTCCAGTTACCTAGAACTTGGACGTTTCTTTTAATTCTCAGAGCCAAATTGGTAAGAATCCGTATCTAATAAATTAGAGTATTTCAGTGATTTGCGGGATAGCATCAGCTAAAAATTCCCATAGTCATACCATAGATTTTGATTCCTATATAGTTATCAGATTCATTTTAGACTGTTGGCCAAGCTGTCTTCAAGATGGAAATTGTAATGATTTGCCTCCTGAGAAAGCACAGTGTGTTGTTTGGATGAAGAAAGCCATCTTCCTGCAGTGTGATTTGAGGGATTTAGAAAGGCACATTTTGTCCCTCAGTGGACTGACACGCTGCTTAGAATGCCCATATTTTAAGTTTATTCCATTGGGGTAAAGCATGATCCACAGAAGGCCATTAGCTCCTTCTGGTATCTTAACAAGAACATAATAACTAAATCATGAATCACATTTAGTAGAATCCCTTATATTCACAATGATCAGGACACAAAGATGTTCCCTTAAAGCAAAAACCAGTTAAAAACAGACAAAAAGGAAAAAAAAAAAACAGACAAAAAGGTACATACGTATCTTAAATATTTATATATTTATTTACTAAATCTTTTGATAGAGAATCAAGATCTTTTCTTTGAGTATGGATCTATAGATTGGATTTACCCTTTGTCTTTCTTGTGCAAATATACCCATAATGCATCAATTTTCTGGTTGATTTCTCCAAAATGAATCTAGAACTTAAATACTTGAAAAACAGTTCCAGTACAGAATCCAACTAGATTTCATGGTAGTCACCCCTAATCTTTTATAGGTGTCTCACCCCCATATAAATCAACTTTATTTGTATGGGTATGGATCTCCTCTTTTGAAGCTTCTCAAAACATTCACCTGATTTTCAGATATATAGTAAACCTCTTAATAGGGGGCATTTATTTTGTCACTTTACATATATTTAAATAAGTTATTATAACATGGAAAAATTGCATAAATAGGTTTGGGAACAAAACCAATGGAGTTGGTAAACAAAACAAGCCTAGCTAACAGAAACAGAAGGAGGCAGGCTTAAAAGATAGAAGCCTAGTAACCACAAGCATTCAGCATCCTGTGAGCATCATTTGTTGTGTTTTACAGTGTACATGGAGAGCCTCAGTTAATCCACTAGCTCTGTTAGGTAAAGATCTGCTAAAGAGAGCTTCTGCTGTAAATTCTGAAATGATAGCAAACACCAGCCATTGGGTGCTTTCAAGAGAATGTAGATTCAACTAAGTAGAATGTTTCAGTGGAGATTTTTGAAGGATAGAGTGAGAAGAAAAATTGTTTCATAATTCCTTATTATGGCTCTACCAAAATGACTACATATAGCCAAATGTATTAGTAAGATATAAGAAATCAAAGTCATTTTATTTTTAGGCACCCAGATAATTTGTTATGTAGTCAGATGACAAAAGAACAATAAGCTACATTCTTTACCTTCCAGGCAAGCATTTTTTAAGCTAAATATATTTTGAGTATTTTAGAAGTCATAGCTTATATTGAACACTATATAAATGCTTTCACATATATAGCAGCTTTAAAAAAGTAGCTGTCATAATATACTAATTATGTTTACATTAATAGTACCTTGAAATAAAATGTGTTAGTCATTCTCCATGAATAAATTAGCTGTTTTTTCCTCATTTAAAGTATTTTCTAATCTAAGCTAGTATTCTAAAGTCTTTTTTGGCTTAGAACATTAAGAATCAGGTGATAGCTCTGGCCTTTTTCCTCCAGAAGAGTGTACGTACAAACTAGACACAAAATTTTGCATATAATTTCAGTGAGTTTGTAGATCCAAAGTTCATCTGCGGTTTTTAAGAACCTCTGTTTTAGCTAGTGATCTTATGAGGATAAAATTCTATAGAGTGATTAGGCTGCTCTAAGTATAAAAAAGGCACATTAGAAATTACATTGTTTTCAGGCCTTAAGGAATTTAACCTACTGGAATGACATTGGAGGAATAAGCTCTATTATATGAAGTTTCAGGATTACTTATCAAAGCCTACAGTTTTAAGCATCCATGGTTTTTTAACTATTTTGATGGATTTTTCCAAAATGTATTACATGCTTCCCTGCCTTCTAAAAAAGAATTCATTGAACGTAAGTTACCATTTTCTAGATGACTTGGGGTTGTCATGGATAATATTACTTATTATGTAGTGCTTTGGTTTAGTGGTGTTTTCAGGGCTGCTTATGGGTGTGTGCAGCTGTTTACTCCCCAGCTAAATGCCTTGGACTGCTGTGCTTTTATGTTCCTGTGTTTGCTTTAAACAGTTTTTTCTCTATCCCCTTTATATTCAGGCTGTTACTTTAAATTTCTTGTGCTGTCAGCGAACCATAATGTAACATCTCACACCCACCTTCATCACCCAGCTCAATTTTTCACTAAAATGTACTGTGAATGAGGATACAGGTATTGTGTTTGTTAAAATTGTGCATTAAGATGCTCTTATGGAAGAATTAAGGACTTTCGTCTATGGAGGAAATGCATGGGCTTTGGATTCTCTGATTGTTCAAGCAAATGTTTTGCTTACTTCCTGTTTCCTTGCTGTCTCTGGATAGCCAAGACTCCTAGTTAAATCTCTTGCTACATTTGCTATGTTACTTTGGTGTCTGAAAGCATGTCTCCCAGATTTTCTATAAATGGCTCTAAACCATTGGGTCTTTTGCTCTGCCTCTTACTGGACACTAGGATTCTGAATCAAGAGGCACCCTTCACGTTCTGGATCTTTTTTAAAGATAGTACTCAGGTGTTTTGCTAAAGGATCAGATACCAAGAGTGAGAGAAAGGCAAGGCAAGGGTAACTTCAAGGATTTGAGCTTAAACAACTACAATGGTGAAGTTGCCTTTTTGAAAACAGACCCATGCATTCTCTATAGTGAAGGAACATGTATAGCCATAACCCAGAGATTTGGTGGGTTTGGTTCCAGACCATAGCAATAAAGCTAATTAACAGTAAGATGAATCAAATGAATTTTTTGGCTTCCCGGTGTGTATAAAAGTTCTCTTTATGCTCTACTGCTTTCTATTAAGTGTGCAATAGCATTATGTCTAAAAAAGACAATGTACATACCTTAATTTAATATACTTTATTGGGGCGCCTGGGTGGCTCAGTGGGTAAAAGCCTCTGCCTTCGGCTCAGGTCATGATCTCAGGGTCCTGGGATCGAGCCCCACATCGGGCTCTCTGCTCAGTGGGGAGCCTGCTTCCTCCCCTCTCTCTCTCTCTGCCTGCCTCTCTGCCTACTTGTGATCTCTCTCTCTCTCTGTCAAATAAATAAAATCTTTAAAAAAAAATACTTTATTGCTAAAAAAAAAAATGAACCATCTTCTGAGTTATCAGCAAGTTGTAATCTTTTTGCTGGTGGAAAGTCTTGACTTGTTTGGCTGCTGGCTGCTCAGGGTAGTGATTGCTGAAAGTTGGGTAGCTGTGGCAATTTCATAAAATAAGACAACTGTGAAATTTGCTACATCAATTGACTCTTCTTTCATGAATGATTTTTCAAGAGCATGTGATGCTCTTTGATAGCATTTTACAGACAGTAGAACTTCTTTCAAAATTGGAGTCATTCCTCTCAAACTCTTCCATTGCTTTATCAATTAAGTTTAGATAATATTCTAAGTCTTGGTTTATCATTTCACCAGTCTTCACAGCGTCTTCACAAGAATAGATTCCATTTCAAGAAGCTACTTTCTTTGCTTATCCATAATAAGACTCCTCATCCATTGAAGTTTTATCTTGAAATTACAACAGGTCAGTCACATCATCAGGCTCCACTTCTAACTCTAGTTCTCGTATTCCTTCCAGCACATCTGCAGTTACTTCCTGCACTGAGGTCTTAAACCTTTCAAAGTTATCAGTGAGGGCTGGAATCACCTTTCTTCCAAACTCCTGTTAATGTTGATATTTTGACCTCTTCTTACAAATCACAAATGTTCTTAATGGCATCTAGAATGGTAAATCCTTTCCAGAAAGTTACAATTTATGTTGCTCAGATCAATCAGAGGAACCACCATCTATGGCAGCCATAGCCTTAAGAAATGTTAAGTATTAAGACTTAAAAGTCAGAATTACTCCTTGATCCAGAATGGAGTTGTATTAGCAGGCATGAAATTAATCTTATTGTATATCCTCAGCAGAGCACTTGGGTGACCAGGTGCATTTTAGGAGCCTTAATATTTTGAAAGGAATGTCTTTTCCTGAGCAGTAAGTCTGAAATATATGCTGTACTATGTTGTAAACAGATGTGCTATCATCCAGGCTTTGTTCCAGTTAGCACAGGCAGAGTAGATTCCGCATAATTTTTAAGGTCCCTAAGATTTTTAGAATAGTAAATAAGCATTGGCTTCAATTTAAAGTCAGCTACATTTGTTCCTAACAAGAGAGCCTGTCCTTTGAGACTTTGAAGCCTTGAAGCCAGGTATTGACTTCTCTCTAGCTGTGAAAGTCCTAGATGACATCTTCTTGCAATGTACGTGGAATATCTGTTGTTTAGTCTTGCCACCTTTATCAATTATCTTAGCTAGCTCTTCTGAATAACTTGCTGTAGCTTCTAAATCAGCACTTGCTGCTTCACTCTGTACTTTTGTGTTACGGAGACAGCTTCTTTTCTTCTTTTTCTGCTAGCTTCAAACTTTTCTTATGCAGCCTAGCTTTCGGCCTATCTTGGCTTTCAGCATTCCTTCCTCACTAAACTTAGTAATTTCTAGCTTTTGATTTAAAGTGAGATGTACAACTCTCCCTTTGACTTGAACACTTAAAGGCCATTGTCGGGTTATTAATTAGCCTGATTACAGTATTGTGTCTCAGAGAACAGGGAGGACCAAGGAGTAGGGAGACACATGGGAGAATGGGTGGTTGGTGGAACATTCAGAACACGCGTAACATTTATCAATTAGGTTTGCTGTCTTATATGGGCATAGTCCAAGGCACCCTAGAAGAATTACAGTAGTAATATAAAAGATCACTGATCACCATAACAGATATAATGATACTGGGAAAGTTTGAAATATTAGGAGAATTACCAAAATGTGACACAGACACAAAAAGAGCAAATGCTCTTGGAAAAATGGTACCAATAGACTTGCTTGATGCAGGATTGCCACAGACCTTCAATTTATAAAAACCACAGTATCTGTGAAGTGCAATAAAGCAACACACAATAAAATGAAGTATGTCGGTATTAAACTAATTCTTTCATAGAAAACAGTTAACTTGGAAGAATATATAAGACAACTCTGAAGGATTTGGCCCTCAAAAATGGGAAACATGTTGGAATATATTACTATATACCTTTTCTCTCTTTGAGGCAATCCTAGCCTGTACTGTGTGAGATGGCTGAAATTCAAGTAGGAAGCCACAGTTTTACTGGCATGAGGTGTTAGAAGATATAGTTGAAGGCTTCCAGAGGAGGTGGAAATTGAAGAAAAAGAGGATGAGCCTTCCAATCTGTATATGAACTCCCCAGAAATCCTTGGCTGACTCTTCAACTGCTTATGCAAGGGAATTTCAAAGAAGCTGCTGAAAAGCAGTAACAGGAAGGATTTAAAATGGTGAACAGAAATTTCCGTTTCTTTTCTCCCCAGGAGAAACATTTTGGAATTTTAGAAGGGCTTAATGAACACCCTGGGGTTTTCATTGAAATAGCAAAAAGGCAGTGGCTCAGCAGTAAAGGCTGTTCTAAGATTAAGAATAAAGTATAAAGCCAGGTCTCAGAGTGATCAATTAATATAACTGTTTAAGATAAGGTAACTGAATCCAGTCTCTACATAATGTCATTCATTATGTCCAGTATACAATGAAACATTAACAAGTTTGAGCAGAAACAATAAAACAGGACACATAGTCAAGAGAAAAAGTAGTCAGTAGAAGTAGACCCCTATGTAATTTTCATGTTGGAATTGCAGGCATGAATTTTAAAGGTAGTACTTGTAATACCTGTATATGAACTATATACCTTATGTTAATACCTTAATGTTAAAAACAGTCATGAGTAAAGAAGGATTTCAGTAAAAGAAACATTAGAAACTATTAAAAGGAATCAAATGGAAATCTAGAAGTGCAGTATTTCAATTGAAATACTAAAGAGAAGTTCAGGGAACTTGAAGGTAGATTAGTAGAAATTATCCAGTCTGGAAACACAGAGAAAAAAGACTGGGAGAGAAAAAGAAGAAAAAGGAAAAAAACAATAGAACCTCAGTGTCTTTTGGAACAATATCAGACAGTCTAACAAGGTTGGTGTCAGAAGGAGAGTAGAGAAAGAGTAGAGCAGAAAAAATACTTAAAGAAATAATGGCCTCAAATGTGGTGAAAAGCATTATTTTACAAATCTAAGAAGGTCAGTGACCTCCAAGTGTGGTAAATACAATGAAAATCACACTTAGACATACAGTAATTAAACCAGAGAGACACAGAAAATCTCAAAAGCAGAAGAACAGAGGACAGATTGCATACAGGAGAACAACAATACATTTGTTGTATGTTTATCTTAATGTCCGCAGTTAATCAAAGTCCCCATTCAATTAGGAAAAGAATAATAGGATGCTTTCAGTTTGTTATTTTCCCAGGCATCTCCCTAATGAAGTCATGTGGCTCTGTAAGACTACGTTCTCTTTTTCTTTTGCCTTTTTTACATTATACTTTCATAATTTTCTATCCGTTTTGTCAGTTTTGCTGATTTCTTTGCCCAGCGCTATTTCTTACATATTTGCCTTTTCCTGCATTTATTATTTATTTTGCAAGAGTGCTTCCTTAAGGAATTATTTCAGTAGGCTTATGGCTGATAAATTTTCTGAGTCCATGCACATTTTTTTAAAAGTCTATTTTACCCTTATTCTTGAATGATAACTGGATTTAAAATCACTTTCCCTGAGAGCTTTGAAGATACTGCTGCATGGTTTGCTGGTTTCCATTGTTGCTGGTGAAAATTTTGATGTCAGGCTGATTGTGTCTTGATTCTTCTCCCTAGTAACTCTTAGGAATTTCTTTAGCCTTCAAGTTCTGATATTTTACTGCCCAGTGTGAGATTACGGACTTTTTCCTTCCATGCTGCTCAGCACTTGTTGGATTCTTTCAGGCTGGAGGTGTTTTTTGTTTGTTTTGTTTTTGTTTGTTTGTTTGTTTTTAATCTCTGGGACATTTTCATGGGTAATTTTCTCCTGAACACTCTGTTCTGTTTCTGGAATTCTTATTAGGTATTGAAACTTATACATCCATCCATCATGGCTCTTAACTTTTTAAACTTTGTTTCTTTGTCCTTTTGTTTCTTTCTCCTTTTTTATGGTATTTTTGGAAAGTCATCAATAAAGTCTTCTATTTTATTAATCACCTTGCAATTCATTTCAGTTAACACTAGTAACTGTGAAGTTAACTCTTTTGACATATGCCTGGGAGCAATATACTTTCTCTACATATGTTATGTTATAACTTGCCCAGAATGAACAGATATAGCAGTTCTAGGGTATGTGATTGTGTATTAAATCTAAAGATAGAAACTTCCTGCAAAATTAACAAATTCTCTGGAATCTCTGTGGTGCTACTCCATGTAGATCAGTACCCAGAGGTACTCTATTGTATTCCTCATTTCCTCAGATGTTATTCTCTTTGTTTTATCTGTGTCCCTCTTTCAGGGTGCTGATTTCCCTCATCATTTGGTGATCTTTTTGGTGATTTGTTCATCTTTGTGTTTTTACAGTCTCTTCACCTGCTTGAGTGTTGAGTAGCTCACCGCCAGTGATTGTGAGGGAGGTACAGGACAAACTGCTGAGGGGCAAGGCTGCTTCTTGTCTTCTGGTGTGGCTGTTTTCCTTCCCTCCCGAGGGTTAGCAACTACCTGTGACATGGCACTGCTCTGCAACCCCAGTAGGAACATTACTGCTTAGCCTGGGATATAAACCTCTGTTGACTGCTGCTTAGTACAAGCTGAGGGAGGGGGAGCTCTTCCAGATGCAGCTTACCTGTTAATCATCCTGATGTATGTCTGAGTGTGTGTGTGTCCTTGTGTCCCCAATACCCAGCTTTCTGTGTCCAGTGACTGGCTTGAAGCCCTCTTCTAACTACTCCCACTTCTGCAGATGTCTTTTCCTACATGTAATTTGGGCTGTGGCTTCCTTCAGTTTACTCTCCTCTCTCCCCCACTGCCATAAATTTGATCTTGTCTGCCTCCAGGAGACTGCTAACAGTCTTTTCTTATTTTCTCATTCACTTAGGATTTGTATTTGTGGGATTTAAATGTTGTTTCCTGAGAGAAGTTTTCCCTAACCATCCAGTTTAAAGTAACTTCCCAGCTACTTTCTAATTATATCACCTTAGGTTATTTTCATTATAGCATTTATCTCTACCTAACACTTGTCTTTTGTAAGTCTTTCCAGACCTAAATGCAGACTTCATTAGGGGCCTTATATTTTCTGTTTACTGCTGTATCCCAGGTGGTTAGAAGACTCTCTGGTATATACTAGACATTAAATGTATGATAGTTGAATTAAGTCACTTTATTTTTTCTAAAAAATTGTACATCACATCTGCTTGAATTACACAAATTTTAGATTTTATACCAGCAGCTGGACTTAATAGATATTTTAGGTTAACCTCTCTGTTCGAGACCCAAAACATTTCTTAACCAAGTAATTTTTCCTTGACCAAAAAGCTATATATGAACCCATGGACCAGTATGAATGTAAAGTTCTTAACTTGCAGCACTTCAGTATACATGTCATTAAACGCTGGGAGAATTAAAGCAAAGCTTCAGTTTTTCTAAGAACATTACAAAATGACAAGGAAAAGCCATAATTATATTTGCTTTTAGTTTCTATGACTATATGAGATACAGTATATTCTCAGGTAAATTGTAAATCGAAATACATCATATCATAATGCCATATTATAATGGAGCTCCTTTAAAGGGCAAACTCAAATTTCTATATTCGTAAATTAGGTGTAAAGGATTCACTTTACCAAATAAAGTTTTTACTCTTGTTCCCTATATTTCTTAAGAGTAAATTTGGTAGTTCTAGTCATCTGACCAGCTAGTATATGATAGTAATAAACAGTTTTTCAATTTAAAATCATTGTTTTCAGGGTCAGTCCTTTAAGTATTAGACTGTTAAAACAGAAAAATCTGCTTAGCAGTCTGATTCACCCATTACGTGAGAAAACTCCCTGAAAGAAAATTACGTATCTGGGCAAGTATTGACCAGGCCTCTACTACTAGGTATAGCATTTTTTTAGTTCCCATATAATTGTTACAAAATACATCATTTTAATTTTCTACATCAAGATCAAATTTATTCTCACATTTTTCCTTAAAAATGTTTTAAATTTTATATTGAAAACGGTGAAGAGAAAGTAACTTATAAAAAACTGGCAAAATTCATCAGTTCCTTAAAACAAAGAATACTTCCATGTATATCATTTGGAAATCTTTAGGTTACTTATATTCTTGCTGTGAAGAGGATGGCTTAAACCTTACAGAATTAACCTCTTACTTTATAATTCTTATGGAAATCATTTTAGTTTTGTTCTACTTCTTTTATTATTTAGGCAAAGATGCAATTTACACAATTCCAGTGAAAAACATTCTTGCTGTAGAAAAACTGGAAGAGAGCTCTTTCAACAAGAAAAATGTAAGTTACATGAATAATCATCCTTGATTGAAAACGTTCAAGGTTTTGTATTTGCCATTAATCATTAATATTTTAATTATTGGCTAGAATTTTCTTAAAATTGTCCATTATTTTTCCTGAAACTAATGTAACATCGTGTGTCCACTATACTCAGTTAAAAAATTTTTTAAAGAAAATGTTTTAGGGGCGCCTGGGCGGCTCAGTGGGTTAAAGCCTCTGCCTTCGGCTTGGGTCATGATCCCAGAGTCCTGGGATCAAGCCCCACATCGGGCTCTCTGCTCAGCAGGGAGTCTGCTTCCTCCTCTCTCTCTCTCTGCCTGCCTCTCTGCCTACTTGTGATCTCTGTCTGTCAAATAAATAAATAAAATCTTTAAAAAAAATTTTTTTTTGTTTATATAAGTAAAAAAGTCCATTGTTGTTGTTGCTTTATATAGTCTGCCTAGCCTATTAAGTTAAAGGTACTTTTCTCAGTACTTCTCTAATCTGACCTTTCAAGTCTTTAATAATATTATAGTCCTAGCCAGTCTGTGCAATCTTATATATTGTATACTCAAACCAGTCGGGGTGATTTCCCATTTCTCTGTATTCTCCCACTGCTTTGTCCTTACTCATACTCTTCCTACATCCACAGTTCCCTCCCTTTATTCCTATTTGTATGATAGTCCATTCTTTGGACATGTGTGACTTCTAAAAATTACATTCTGTTGTACTGCTTAGTACCATGTGACTTAGATTGTCCTTGGAACTAATTCACTTGAAAAGTAACAATTTGTAAGATACCAGAGCTGCAGTTACCTAGCCAAGCAAACTATATTTCTCTTATACACCTTTTTCTCTTTGTACTGTGTTGGTTTTTTAGACTCTGTTTCTAACTTTTTATCTTAATTGCCTATGAAGATGTTCCAAGTAATACATATGGAGAAACCACTCTACGTCCAGGCAAATAATTGTGTAGAAGCTAATGAATGGATAGATGTACTCTGCAGGGTGAGCCGATGCAATCAGAACAGGCTCAGCTTTTATCATCCCTCTGCGTATCTCAACGGAAACTGGCTCTGCTGTCTGGAGACTAGTGAAAACGCTCTTGGCTGCAAGCCATGTACTGCGTAAGTTTCTTTCTGATTAAAAAAAGCAGTGTTTTAAGTGTGGTGTATCAATAGAATGGAATATTATCAGCCATAAAATGGAATAAAGTATTGATACATGCTGCAACATGGATGGACCCTGAAAACATGCTAAGTGAAAGAAGTCAGAAACAGAGGCCATACACTATATGATGACTTTGATATAAAGTATCCAGAATAGGTAAATTTATAGACAGTAGATTAGTGGTTGTGATGGCCTGGAGGGAGGGTGGTTTGGGGAGTGCAAATGGATACCGGGTTTCTTCTTGGAGTGATGAAATTGTTTTCAAATAAATAGTGGTTGACACAAGTCCAAAAAAGTGGGGTTGGCATAAGAGACTCTTAATCTCATAAAACTAACTGAGGGTTGCTGGGGGGAGGGGGATGGGAGAGGGTGGTTGGGTGATGGACATTGGGGAGGGTATGTGCTATGGTGAGTGCTGTGAAGTGTGTAAACCTGGCGATTCACAGACCTGTACCCCTGGGGCTAATAATACATTATATGTTAATAAAAATTTTTTTAAAAAATAGTGGGGTTGGCGGAGAGCACCATCGAAGTAGATGCACAAGCCTGAGCAAAGAAAGACTTCACATTCTCTTACTAATTGTATGGAAAAGCCATTGTACCCTTATGCACTTAAGAAGAAATGTATTGCTTTTGTGATGAAAGCATAGGTGTTATGAAAATGATCTCTCTTAGATTGGATTTTAGATTAGAGTTCCATAATGACCTCTCTTGGCCCCATTTTATTAAATTGACAAATGAGACTAGATACCTGAGTTTCCTTCTGCAAAGTTCTGAGGTTTTGTTTTTTAATCTCAAGTCATCAAAAGTTTTTGGCATGTTAACAAAATGAAATGTTTCAATGTCTTTAATTTCATTTTTACCATAGAGGGGTCCCTGCAGACATCCAAATAGATATTGATGAAGACAGAGAAACAGAAAGAATTTATTCCCTTTTTACCCTCAGTTTACTTAAGCTGCAGAAAATGGAAGGTAAATATACAATTAGAATATTTTTATATAGCCATGATCCTTCATTACCAATTCCTGAAGTAATTGCATAGTTTTACCAAAATGTTACTTATGTGGACATTGATAAACTCCCAAAGGGGCGTTTTTCATAGATACTCACGAAGATACAGTTTTTGCATAAATGTGTTCATAGTTAATGAAAGTATGTGGGTTATATGTGCATTACTAGAGGGAAGTCTTCCTAGCTTGAGACACTCAAATAGTTCTTATTATACTAAAAGTTACGTTTATGGAATTTAGTTTTCTGATCAGAGATTGTACTGCTCCTTTTAGAGGCTTGTGGAACTATAGCAGTCTACCAAGGACCACAGAAAGAGCCTGATGATTATTCTAACTTTGTAATCGAGGATTCTGTAACAACCTTTAAGACAATTCAGCAAATAAAAAGCATCATAGAGAAGCTAGATGAACCTCATGAAAAGTATAGGAAGAAAAGATCAAGTAGTGCAAAATATGGGAGCAAGTAAGTATTTTTAAGATACTTTAAACATGTTTTTAAAACATTGTTTGAGATTCCAGCTACTACTCTTTACTCAAACCTGACAGGCAGGTTCCTGCTTACCTTTGTCTTTCAAAACCCAGCTCAAAACCTTTCTCCTGTGCAGAAGCTCCCCTGGCCACTCACACAGTGATCTTTGTTTTTACAGTTCTGCTGTTGTTTCATTATGCTGGTGCTGTACTTCCTCACCACTTTTAAGGTTAAAATTAATTATTTCATTAAATACATAGTAGCTTTTGTTTTTGTTTTGTTTTTACCCATACTCTTCCAACTTAATATCTTCCACACTGTCTTATATATACTAAGTACTGAAAAATAATTAGCCATGAAAATGCCAGAAGTGCTAGTCGATTGTACAAGTTGAATTCTAGTTGGTTCTTTGGATCCATCTCAGATGTAGGTGACTGTTAACAGCGGATGACAGCAGGAGCATCTAACACTTCATCAGAAGCTTAGTCCACCACCAGACACTGTACCTATTTTACATCATATTCTGTAGAGTGTATTTAGAATCTCCGCTGAGGTGGCTTAACCAATAGGAAAAATTTTATTTTAATTTTTTTTAAGATTTTACTTATTTATTATTTGAGAGAGATAAAGAGCATGAGCTGGGGGAAGGGCAGAGGGAGAGGGAGAAGCAGACTCCTCATTGAGTACAGAGCGTGAAGCAGGGCTCGATCCCAGGACCCTGAGATCATGACCAAAGCCAAAGGCAGACCCTTAACCAACTGAGCCACTGAGGCACCCTGCAAGAGGACATTTCTAATATCACAAATTAAGTCCTAACTTCTCTAGTTGGTTAGACCAGCAACTCAGTATTGTTATCATGGACCATCTAGACACTTACCCGTCCTCAACAAGGTGATTTCTGTCATCCTCAGCTTCGTCCCTTCATGGTCATGGATGAGCTGAAACAGTTCACGATTTTTTGTATAGTAGTATCCAGAGGCAGAAGGACGTTATTTCCTTCTAAGAAAAAAGAACCTTATCTAAAGTACCCCCAGCTTTCCCTGGAACATAGGGCTACATAGTATCAGCACTAGGATCAGTTCCGCTTGCACAAGGTCAATAGGGAGGAGATGGTTCTTAGACCACAATGTACACTGTCTCATTCATCCTCACATCAGCCCCACATGCTTATATTCCCACTTTATAGCTGGAGAAACTGAGGCTTGGAGATGTTAAGTACTTTGGCCAAGGTCATACCGCTAATTAGTGAGGGGGCTTTGAATCCTGGCCCCACCATTTTAAGTGTTCTTAAAATAATGTGATCATTGGGGCACTTAGGTGGCTCAGTCAGTTGAGCATCTGACTCTTGGTTTCAGCTCAGGTCATGATCTCAGGGTGGTGAGATTGAACCCCACCCACCCACCCACCCAGGCTCTGCTCTGGGTGAGGAGCCTGCTCGGGATTCTCTCTCCCCCCTCACCCTTTGCCCCTCACCCGCTTGCTCTCTTTTAAAAATGTGATTATTAATTATATTTGTGATTTATGAACAATAAAAATCAGTTTGACAGATACACGTTCTCCCTGGATAGAAGGTTCAGTACATTAGAAAGTTTATTGTAACCATCCGAATCCCGTCTTCTCTACAGTAATATAATTGGTTCTCTTCCCACAGTGCTAATACAGTTTTCTTGAAGTCCCCAGAAATTTCCATTTGATGTCCTAGCCAGTGCTTGACTACTCTTCTTAAATAGTACCTGTCCCCTACCCCTGACAGACACACACACCCTGCCTTTTCCCACCTTTATTTTTCTCTATTAAAAAGTATCAGTCTTGGGGCACCTCAGTCGATTGGGTGTCTGCCTTCCGCTCAGGTCATGGTGCCAGAGTCCCTGGGATCCGCCCTGCCTTGGGCTCCCTCCGCCCTTCACCCCACTAGTACTTTCTCTCTTGCTCTCTCAAATAATGAAATCTTTAAAATACACACACACACACACACACACACACACACAATCAGTCTCTCAGGGTGCCAAGGTGGCTCAGTAGGTTGAGTGTCTGGCTCTTGATTTCCACTTGAATTGAGATCTCAGGGTTGTGGCATCGACCCCCACCTCCGTCTCCCCACTCAGTCAGAGTCTGCTTCTCTTCTTTTGCCCCTCCCCCTGCACACATAGGTGCTCGTATTCCCTCTCCCTCTCTCTCCCCAACCATAAGTAAGTAAATAAATAAATAAAATTTTTTTTTAATCCGTCTCTTGTGTAAAGTAGTTTCCTTGTTCATTTTACTTTCCATATAGCAGAAAGTAAGCTCCATGAGAGCAAGGTTTTATCTATTTTGTTTACTGCTATATCCACAGCTCCTAAAATAGTGCCCAGCATTTAATAGGTGATCTATAAATACTTTTTGAATTAATGAAATAAGACTTTGAGAGAGATGCCTGGGAGGTTCAGTCATGACTCAGGTCATGATCCCAGGTTCCTGGGATCGAGTCCCACATCAGGCTCCTTGCTCATCAGGGAGACTGGTGCTCCCTCTGCCTTTGCCTGCCGATCCCCCGGCTTGTGTGCACGCGTTCTCTCTCTCTCTCTCTCTGACAAATAAATAAATAAAATCTTTAAAAAAAAAAAAATGAAAAGGCATAAGAAATTATCAAGGGAAAATTACAAACACTTAATGGATACTGTAAGATAATTTGTCACTTTTTAAAATGCTATATATTGGGGCGCCTGGGTGGCTCAGTCGTTGGATGTCTGCCTTTGGCTCAGGTCGTGATCCCAGGGTTCTGGGATTGAGCCCTGCATCAGGCTCCCTGCTCAGCAGGAAGCCTGCTTCTCCCTCCCCCACTCCCCCTCCTTGTGTTCCCTCTCTCGCTGTTTCTTTCTCTATCAAATAAATAAAATCTTTAAATAAAATGTTACATATTCTAACTTTTGAAAAATGGTTTTCTTTTATTTTCTAGGGAAAATCCAATTGTAGGAAAAACATCTTAGAGTGTGACCAGCTGGTTTAGAGGAACTGGAAAATACTATTTTTGTTGGAGTTTGTCAATTCATCGTTTATTTTGTTCCTGGTATTTAAGAATGAACATTGGCTTCAGTGTCATCTATATTCACATTGTATTTAATATTTAATAATTGAAAGTAACTGTTTGGGAATCCTGCTATTGATGCATTACTAGAGAATTTGAAACTCAAGATTCCCTTCGTATCTTATATGTCAAAAGCCATGTGTCTGCAGCTTCTTTTTAATAGAAAGAATCTTCCTAAAGAAGCTTTGTAACAAAAGGAGAACTCCTCCATAGCAAGAAACCATCTCTTCTTGTAACACTCCATGTTCTGTGGACTTTTCACTACCATTAGTGCCTGCTCTATACTGCCAATGTTATGTTTTACCAGAAAATCCAATCCGTGACAATTCACAGCTTTCCATTTAGTTCATCTAGACCCTCCCTCTTCAAAAAGGAAAAAAAGATTTTTCCTTCCATCTGTTAGTCATTACAGATTATAGTAGGGACTTTCGAAAACTGCCAGAGCATCCTTGAAGGTTGGTAGATCCTTTTGCCTATTTAAAGATGTAAACAGAACTCAGACAGGAGAAATCGGGGAACATGTACTGTTGTGTGCATCTTGTTTACATTTGGGATGAGTGATGGCAGATAAAATACAGTGAGACCACTAAATTTTTTTTCATTGTTTTAAATATCAGGTACTCGTTTTCTTGATTTGAAAATTCGAGTTAACGTGACTTGTAAGGACATCTCTTCTGAAAAAGAAGTGACAGTAGTCAGTGAAAAAAGGTGGTGGGAAAATCACTTGACTTCACCTGTTATTCCATGTTATTATAAGGGTCACCATAAGAACGCCCTCCTCCTAGTGTGAGGGTGAGAGCTAACTCAAGAACAGTCACTAGGCGCACTTTAATAATCTGGGCTGCCCCAGATTATACTTTAGATACTCTGTGGTATCTAATCTTTATGATCAGTTGAATGATCAGTGTTTAAGTCTAGAAATAGTGCTTTCTTGAAAATGTTTATATTTCATTGCTGTTTTCTTATTGCCTGCTAGCCAAATGGAGTTTGGGCAAGCAACGTTTGAATCCTCTTTTTCCCTAATAATTTACTTTTATCCTAAAAACCATAATTGTAAATAAGCAGTCGAAGCAAGTTGCCTCCTTGAAGTTAAGAGGAATACACATTGCTTCATCAGTATTAAAAAACATGGTACTCTTATTTTGTCTTTTAAAATTTAAAACATTTTCTAAATGTGGTACTTTGAACCCTGGAGTATTTACATATTTCTGTTTAAAACTGTGACTTATTAATGTAAGTCTAGCTAGTAGTGCTTTTTTTTGTTTTCCTGAGCATAAGCTATATATCAGGATACACTTTGCCAATTATGTTATTGGTGAGTAATTGTTTTTAAATTATATTGTTAATAGGGAATTTTTTTTAAAGACCATTGACACACAATTAAGTGATTATAACTGAGCAATGTATTTCTCTAAATGACTTGTGAAGATCATTCTGTTTTATTTAAGAATCGGTCCTAGTCTCCATTATGGTAGGTTTATTCCTAGCCCACCTTAAAGACAAATTTGGAAGACTCCTTTAACTTTTATGAGCTTGTGTGTTCCATAAATTACACTGATCTATAAATGTGAAAGAATTTAACAATTTAATAAATTTCTCATGGCTGAATTTCATTCAGATTGAAAGTTTCTTTTAAGAATCTCTGAGATGCCTAACTGAAAAGGACACGTGAGCATTGCCAAGTGCTGCTCATTATTCTTTAGTGGCTGTTTTAGTCCTCTGCTCTTTTTCAAGGCAAAATAAATATTTTTTAAGTATTTCTAATATCAAATCCCCAATCATGATTGCTTTTAAAGATATGGCATTGTCAAACGGACCAAGGCTGTGTGAACACATAACTCTGAATTTGAATTCACATGACTTTTAAACAGCCTGTTTGACTGGAATTAATCAACTTAAAAGAGGTAATGTGAAATTAATTTTTTTTGAAAGTCTACTGAAATAAGAGACCGTGTCAGTAGGACCCTAAGATAACCTAGGTACTTGCTTCCAAGGGTGTCATTCTTCTGCTGTTACTTATGAGTACTTTGATCTTTGCTACCAGATCTGCTTTCTCTGCCTTTTCCACACTTGAAGAAAATACATGACAGCTCACTTCACCCTAAAAACCTGAAAACGCCTAGAAGGAGAGAAAAGATGATTTGGAGAAACTCTTTCCGCAAATGCAAGTTCTTGTTCTTAGTTTAGCCATTTCCATCAGTTGCAGTTATGATCTGTTCCTGTTTGTTGTGGGTTTTTTAAGTTGGTTTTTTAATATTCATTTAATAAAATGATGGCAATAGCAAAGTTTTTTACCCCCAGGAATATAATTTATCAAATTGAATGATTTTATTTGCCAAAGAAATATGTTTATAATGTCATGGGTAATGGTTAAATGTCAAGACTAAATTTTCCTTATTATTTAAAAAAATGATGAATGATATGGCTTTTGTTTGTTTCTGAAACCTAATTTCATTCATTTATCAGAAAGGCTCTTTCATGCCAGGTTTTAGAAAACAGGTTTTTTTCCCTTTTTTTTTTTTTTAAGTAAAAGCACCTTTAATTTGTTCTAATGGTACATCCTGTAATGACAATGCTACAGAAAGCCTTTTTGGTGTCCTTACAGTATGCTAAAAATACAGGACTCATTCTAGAGTTAAATTACTTGTCTTGACCGATATTATCTGCTTCCATTTTTATTAACTTAGAAATTAATATGTTGCTAGTAAATATTGATTTTTACAGTGTCCAGTTTGAATATGTAAGTTATCAAAACTTAATGTAGTGAATTTGTGTAACCATGTTGTATTGTTGAGAATGTATTTTTATTTAAATTTTATTTTCTTATCAAGAGTATTATAAAAATTAAAAACTTTTGTAACTGTCGCTTGGAAATAACTCAAATAAATTACAAGAAGCCGGTCTATTCTCTGTGAGACCTTACTTTCTTACTGATTTAAGAATTCTTAAAATTATTACCTGTTAGGAAGGGAATAGCAAACGAGAAGTCCTCAATAACAAAGAAGAACAAAGTCATCTGTTTTAAAAGGGCTCAGGATTCTTTTCTTGCACTTAACTTGGCTGATTTTTGATGGACTGTGGTCCTTACTCACTCATTCATTCAACAGACTTGTTTTGAGGACCTACAGTACGGAGGGACTCTGTGGGATCCCTTCATTTCCAACAGCCATTGTGTGGGAATGTATTCCACCCCTCTCTGGGTAAGTAGTTCTGAGCTGACTTTTTCAGCCTATGTTAGACTTTTTGAAAAACCCCATTTCTACTTTTCTCAAAAGCAGTTGACATCAGAGCTTCTGGTTACTCGGGTCCTGTATTGACTCCTGTACGTTACCCTGCCCGGTAACTTGACCATCAGTGCAGTCCTTCTGGGTGTTAGAATTTGATCATGTTGTGCCATGTTGCTGAATTGTCTAGAGAATATAAAGTAACAGCACCAAAGACCAGTTTCGTGGGTAACTTGTGCCCCCAAGGAGAGAAGCCAGAATACTTCCCTGTTAGTGTCACAGCAGCCCTCTTAGCATTTCTAAATAAAACTCTGTAAAACTTAGCCCTTGTAACTCCAGAAGAGTTTAAGGTTGATAAAGAGGAAGGAATCAGGCTCCAATTATCTAGGGATCCTACTTTTATCGAAATAACAGACTCCTACTCAGACTAGCTCATGTATTAGAAGAAAACTTGTCAGGGGCACCTTGGTGGCTCAGTGGGTTAAGCCTCTGCCTTCGGCTCGGGTCATGGTTTCAGGGTCCTGAGATTGAGCCCTGCATCGGGCTTTCTGCTCAGCGGGGAGCCTGCTTCCACTTCTCTCTCTCTGCCTGCCTCTCTGCCTACTTGTGATGATCTCTCTGTGTTAAATAAATAAATAAAATCTTAAAAAAAAAAAAAAAACTTGTCAGAAACTTCAAAGACTTCACGGTATATTCTATAATGTAAACAAGCTAGTTCTTTAATGAGAGAGGGAGCCATACTTTGCCCTTCCAAATTGCATGATTCCAAAAGAGGAGACCCCTGAGGCCAAATAAAGTCCCTTTTTGTGTACACTAGAGTAAGAAGGCATAGCTAGCACTGCTGGATTCTGATTGCTGACACTGCTACTCCCTAGTCAGTGGCCTTCAGAGAATAACCTTTCTTGGATAGACATGACATGCTTCAACCTCAATCACCAATGTTCAGAGACTTTGGCCTTGATTCTTCTTAGGCATACTTACCTGAGATTTGATCTTCTGTGGCCAAAAGTTTCATTCTTCATCCATTTGACTTCTTAGCTTCCTGATACCATTTGCACTGTATTTTAAGCTTATGCCTATATTTTATTTAGCCCCAGAGGTGGTGTAACCTGTTGACAGTCCTTTGAAGATTTGTTTTGTTTTTTTGCCTTGTATTTCAAATTCTCTTTGTTTCATACTGTCAGAAGCTTTGTGTTTTCCTTGTGTCAGTCTGCTTTTTGACATGGAGTTTAGTCCTCAAGTAAAGTTTTTGGTCATCAAGGAAGAATTCTGTTGCCTATAGTGAACAACATTGTTTTCCAAATTTAGCATGTTTCTCAGCCAAGAACTGAGAAAGCCACACTCCCCATTCAAGAACCACCCATCATTTTAGATGGATTCTCAGTGCAGGATGGAGTAAATGAGGCAAAGAGGTCTATCAGAATCTCCCAAAGGAGACAAAGGGCTCAGGGGAGGGAAGGTATATAATTTGAAAAGGCATAGTCAATGTTATAAATTTTACACTTCAAAATACACACCTCTTTTCGTTATTCAAAACTACAGAAAAAGCTCAGCAAAATCTTACTGATACAAATGCATAGGAGACTGATTCTCACCCGGAGGCCCTTTTCAAAATGGAGCCTGAGATACTTGTGTTAATGTGGATCACGTTTTTAAAGGTTGAGAAACACTGGAATGGGGGCTGATGTATTAAATCCCAAATCCTGAGCCTGAATCTCAGTCCTAAATTCTCCATCAAAACATGTGTCGGGAGTGAGGATACTGCCAAAATCACTGCTTCGCTAGAGCTTACAACCCACAGGGAGAAGGAGGCCTGAATATGTATAAGCTGTCAGATGGTAGTTAGTATGATGGGGCACAAGGACAGGAGACAGGGAGTGCCACACATGGGGCCCAAAGGTGTGGGGTGCACTTGGAAATTAGGTCATCAAGGCAGGCCTCCACCAGGAAGGAGAGATTTGAATGAGGAGGTGAGGAAAGGGAGTTCGATGGATGTGTGGAGAAAGATCCTCACAGAAGAAATAAAATGCAGGGTGTGCTCAGAGGCAACAAGGACCTTAGTGTGGCCACAGCAAAATGTGTGAGGGGAATAGTAGGAGCCGGGTGGTAGAGGATATTGCGCAGTGAAATGACATGACCCATTGACCTTCTGTGGGTTGCTGTGACTGCTGAGTTGAGAGAGGTCTCAAGGGAGGCCTAGGAAAAAGTGGGAAAGCCAGCCAGCTAATATCCTAATCCTGTGAGGGATGGCGGCGGCTGGGCCCCAGGGTGATAGCACAGAGCATATGAGGAGTGATTAGATTCTGGGTAGAACTGAAGATGGAATCAATAAGATTTGTTGACACAGGAACGTGGGAGAAAGGAGTCTAGAAAGATCCAGTAGCCTAAGCAACTGGTTATTTACGGAGAAGCGAAAGACTGTAGGAGGAGGTTTGTTTGTGCTTTATCTGTGTGCATGGCAATGACTCCTAGAAAAGATTGATTTAAATTACTTAGTACCAGCATATATTGTATCTAGTTTTGTACAGTTATCATATCTTCCTCAGTAGATTGTAAATGATTCTTCCTGAGAGTGAAGAGGGGCTTATTGTACCCCACAGTCCCTCGCCCTTAGGTGAGGAGACTTAATGCACATTCCATGAATGAATGACTTACGATGGCTAATGATGGAGGAGCAGTGACGTCGATTGGAAGTCACGACTTAGCTAGAAACTACCTTTATGATCTTTGTCGGCTAACATCTTTAGGTTTGGTTCCCCTATACATGTAAATTGTTTAAGTTTTTGTCTTCGAAAACAAGGTGTTAGGCCCTTGCTATGCACTAAGCACTCTGCTAAACATGGGAGCCCTAAGATGAAGCCTTTAGGTTGTGGTCAAGCTAGAGACTGGACCAGAGTGACCTGAGGATCCTTCTACAAGTTCCATATGCAGACAACCCCCAGGGTCCCTCCCACTCACCCCTCCCCAACAGTTTGTGTAGATAATTTGATTCCTTCAGTGAATCTTTCCTGACAGAATGTGCCTTGCTTTCCTCCAGGGCTCCAAGACTATGGACCAATTGAGCAGCATTGACAGACCCTATAGACTGTATTGTAATCCTCTTCCGGTCGTCCTTGGAGGAATTAATAGAGTCCCAGTCATTAATCAAGTCACT